GATATTTGAGAGCCGAGGGGTAAAGGGCTCCAAGCTTAGTTAGCTGGAGGAAGGTGAGTTTAAATTCTTATTCTTTCTGTTACACCTGATATTAGTGAAGCTATTTTTGCAATTCTTTCCATTCAGCCCTGAGAATGGTTCGTCTTGCAGCGGTGGTCATGGAGAGGACAGAAGCCCGCAGATTTTGGCAAAAGCTGTCCAAGTTCACCCTGAGATGTTAAAAGGAATGTACTTTGCTTAAAGACACTTAGTAAAGAGTAACGTAATTAGTTACCGACTAATGTAATACTTATAAGAAAACACAGGATATTTATCTTTTGTCTTACAAAAGTCAACCATTTCTTAAGAGATACTTTCAGTACGAGAAGATAAAATTCGTATCCCCAAGCGGCCATGTAATGTTCTGTTTATTTTATAGATGCTGATGAAATTCCTACATAATTTCAAAAGAACCGGCCGCGTGCCTTAACGGGAAACTCTCTTGTAATTGGCTCATCATGTTAGTAACCATGGCGACATCAATATCCTCGCACGTGAAAAATAAAAATAGTATCTTCACTGCGCGTGATGAAGACATGATTTTTTAGTAAAAGGAAAAATCCTAGTATTTCATCAGTATCTATGTAATAAACACCTTTATCACGCAGTGCCATCTTGGATTGCGTGGCGCACCGAATCGAGGCTGGGCGGGCATAAGATATAGGCGTGTGTTACATTACAGTGTTTTTAGTTAAGTTTTCAAGCAAGCATGGCCCACGATCTTAAACGAAATCCAAAAAAACACACGAAATATTGCCGTCGATTTCACAAAATAAGACCGAAGAAACCTCGATGCCATTTCCGATCTCACATAAGTTTCTCCTGTTATGCTACACTGTGGCCGTCAAAACCGTTCAGAAAACGTCACAAATGAAACTTTTTCATGACGAAGATCACTGATCGAGTTCGCAAGCGTTCAAAAAACAGAGAACAGTGCCTTAGATTCTATTTTCTCAGTGTCCGCTCTGATTGCGTTGCATAGCGTTATTTTCAATATGGAGATGAAAATGGTAGAAATCGGCAGATTTCGACCGAACATTACATAAAAGCTGATCGTACATTCGAAACAAGAAACCATACACCTTTATGCAGCGACTAAAGACAGGAATGGCTCCGACCTGTAATTGGATGATAAAAATACTAACAGTTAATAGGTTATGTCTTTACTACTTGCTCGTGCGTATTGTTTGTAAATCGTATGATAAAATCTGAAATAAAGTAGATCTCGAGGATTAAATGACAGAGTCAGGAAACTAAAAAATAAGAACATATTAAACTATAAAATGATTCAAACTCTGTTGGTTTCCGAGAAAAAAATTGCTTTAAGGCCTTTGTAAAGCTTAGTACTGATGTCATTTGTCGTATGGTGATTGGTAAACTGTTTCATAGTTGACATGTGGTAACATTGAAAGTTTTACCGCCATCTAATTTACGTTAAAACTTTGGGCAAACTAAGTTATAGTTTGCATATCTAGTGTTGCGAGAGTGAAGATCACTAATACGTGTTAAAAGGCGAGTAATATACTCAGGCATTTCTCCTCGTGGTCTCTCAAATGCAATTAGATATATGGAAATTTTAGCCTCCTCGTATAAAGGTAAAATCATCAAATAAACTGACAGAAGAGGCCTTAGAACTAGCATCCATAATAAATCTAGCTGCATGACTTTCTTGTCTTAGTTTTTATCGGCGCTGATCAAAAATTTAAGACATAAAAATGTGCAAACCCAAGCTATTCTTAAATTTTTTATCTCTGACTTCAATTCGCAGAATATTTTTTAATCATGGTAAACACGAGATTGACAACAAATAACACTGAATAATACAGTAGGTAAGCTTTGTGATATTTCATTTTGATAAACTTCAACATGAAGCAAGTTTAATTTATTGATGAATTGATTCACAATAAAATTAACAGCATCCCATTCGTAGATTTTTCATATAGGGTTAAAGAAATGTATAAAAAAAAAGCCCTTACGTCGTTTAAAGCCTTGCTCAATAAAGCGAACTGAACCCCGAATTCTTGGATCGCTTAAATCCAGAATAAATGTAGCGGTAAATTTTCACAAAATTTTTTATCGACGAAAAAAGATCAACTTTTTCATGAATAATCCCAGCTCTTCTGGACTTTTCCTAAAGTTAAATACTTATATACAAATTTATTGATCTGACAGTAAAAGGCGCTTGTTTCCCTCTTAAAAGATTGAGTATTGAAAGTAATCACGTTTTACGATTAATTATCTCAAAGGTCACTTTAATGAAAGGCTTTACAAAATAAAAGCGCAACAATTTCTTGGGAATTTATGTTTGTGTTCCTTGAACGACGAAATAAATACTGTTTTAACCTCGATTTGACTTTATCCTTGAAATTTTTTATATTTTCCTGAGGAGATTTTAAAAAATTTATTGTCATTATCATGATTACAATATTGTTTCAAACCTTATCAGTAGTCCAAGAGTATATTTATACCTGGAGAGAATTAAACTTGACTAATTACTTGCTTGAATGTTCAGATTATTTACTGAAGCAGTGATGCCTCTAAAAGTATTACTGGTACTTCAGTAAATTGACTGCCTTAGCCGTCAGTAAGGCCGTGAGCCAAGCGTTTCTGACTTCTGAAGACGAGAATCTGAACATTCTAATACTCCCATCAACCTGGGAAATCTTAATGCACATGGAGTTCTGAACAGTCAAAGACGTGACACTGGACATCATTTTGATCTCGGAGAACACCAGCACTTCTTCCCCCTTCTCATAACAGTATAGCTTATCTTCCAACAGCACAAAGCGTCTCCTATGCCAACTTGGTCTTCTTCTGAACACAGCGCACTCTTTCAGCCGGCAAAAATCTCCTTGAGACGATACCAAACTACTGAAGTTGTTATTTATAAAACGATAAGATGGAGGCGAATACGGAAGGCAGCTCTTTCCTTTTGTTAGTTTTTTCTTCTGCTTCGGCAAAGGCTCATTCCAGAGTTTCGGTTTTACCCGACAAAGGCAGGTTTCACTGCGTGCCTTGTAAAGCTTCTCCATAATTGATCAATAAAATTTTGCGGGTGAGGTGTACTATGTCGAGGTAATTTACCCTGTTAAGATTAAAGCGATATCCACACAAATGAACAGAAAGACGCACCGAAGTTAAATTTGTAAACGACCCAACCTGCTTTGATCTATCTCGCGGAGAATTAGCGGAAACCCCTTAGGCACGTACTTAAAAACCGTTTAAACACTCTCTACTTCTTTCAACTATCACGTTAAGTGTTTTTGCGTGGTTCCAGAATTTTCCGCAAACGTCAATTTTTCATATTATTGACCGATCTTTGAAGTTGACCTGACCTTCAGTCAACGTGAATACTATTTCTTATCATTGTGAAGATTCTTGACTAAATCTGATGTTGAAAATCTTGATTAGATAACGATTGAATCTTGACCAAATTGCAGCTTCTTTATCTCCGGAGAGCTATGTGTTCTTTTTTCTGGTCGTCAAGTACTGAGAGAATTTCTTCGTCAGTTGGGCGAAGACAGTGTAAATAATTTGGCGGTCATCGCGATTTGGTGAACAATACTATACGCTGCTTCTTTGTTTTCCTATTCACGTACGCTTGTGAGATTTCAAAGGTAAACAGATTACCTTAGAAACTTTCTCGTCACGCAACTTTGGAAAATAAACAGTTTTAAGAGTAAATGTTACGGTACACGTAGCGATACATGCAGTCATGTGGTTGAATTTCTTCGTTGATTGAATCTACTGGAACTTTAATGGAATTCCTGCTGTCCCTTTGCTAGCCACATCATAAACAAATTGGACAAAAAGACTTCTAGTTCAAAGAGCTACAACTTTCCAGTGGGAAAGTTCGTCACTTAGCCGATATATAGTATCTTTTTCCAGGCATGTGTGAGATGAAACTTTATCGATATTTCCGTCGTCAATTCTTCTCAAATTGGTCAAATTGATTTAATTTTTTTCGATATACATCATTGAATCTCTTCATATAATTGCCAAAAAAATTATTTGCGTTTCGGGTCAAGTGCAGGCGACAGTAGTGACTCACGAAACATAAACTGAACTTAAGTCTACGAGAGAGGTCTTTCTCGTTTAATGCCGGGAATGACAGTGATCACAGACCAGAGATATTTCTGAGAAGTATGAGGGAGTATGGTTTATGGGAATGTTGTGATAAGTCAACAGTGCTTTTGCACTTTTTTTCAGCTTAAAGTAACTCCTTGGCTTATCCTTCCTATTTTGCGCATAAATTTCTAAAATTGGCGACCACCCGTGATTACATAACAGGGTGCCCTGTTATCGATAAACTATCTTACAGAATAGGGTAACTAAGTATTACCAACTGAGTTGATAACGTAAATTGGCCACCGTTATGGGTTTAAAAGCTGACGTTTCGAGCGTTAGCCCTTCGTCATTCGCTCTGACGAAGGGCTAACGCTAGAAACGTCAGCTTTTTTATTCTTTACGGTGGCCAATTTGCGTCATCAACTCAGTTGATAGGGAGGTGGAGGGGGTGAGGGAAGGGGGGAGGGAGGTGGAGGGGGTGAGGGAAGGGGGAGGGAGGTGGAGGGGGTGAGGGAAGGGGGAGGGGGTGGAGGGGGTGAGGGAAGGGGGGAGGGAGGTGGAGGGGGTGAGGGAAGGGGGGAGGGAGGTGGAGGGGGTGAGGGAAGGGGGAAGGGAGGTGGAGGGGGTGAGGGAAGGGGGGAGGGAGGTGGAGGGGGTGAGGGAAGGGGGGAGGGAGGTGGAGGGGGTGAGGGAAGGGGGGAGGGGGTGAGGGAAGGGGGGAGGGGGTGAGGGAAGGGGGGAGGGGGTGAGGGAAGGGGGGAGGGAGGGGGTGGGGCAAGGGCTCGGAGGGGAAGTAAGGTAGCAGATGCAGTTTTTACCTCTTACATTTATCGAACTTGGCCATTTACTAAGTTATTTACTGAAAATATCAATTTAAATGTTGTTATGTTTTTAATCTACTTCATTTTCAAAGTTACCAATTCATTACAAATAAAACAGTGTCTCACAACTGAAAAGTCTCCCAGCCGTATCATAAGACAACACTAAAAAAACCCAATAATAATCATCTAACCAAGGAGAACATTCAGCCATGTGGTGTGATCATCCAAATGACAGTTGTCACTTTTCAAGGACCAGAATTGAACTTACAATTTCTCATTTAATTTGACTGTTATGAGAACTTCTGTTCATGTCTTTGAAACCACAGGCATTGTCAATGTCAAGATTTGGCAATACTTCCATCCGGATGATCAAAGCATATGGTCATCTGTCACTCCTAAGTTGCATAAATGTATAACGATAAAAATATATAGAGTATAGTCGCAATGATATAATAGCCTTAATGACTGACGTAATGGCCTGTTAGTACTGTACTGTACTGTAGTTCTCATCTTAAAATACACATCTTACTAAAAATAATAAAACACTCGTTATACAAAGTTCCAAAGTACCAGGTTAAAGAGGTTTTTGAAAGAGCTCTTGTTTCCTCCATGGGACATCTTTTACCCTCTAACTCCCATAAGTGACCAAGACGGAATTTCTCCTTACAGTGTCAATACAATATCAACCAGACAAGTGATGAGAATAAAGAAAAATATAAACAGGAAAATTTTGGTTGATCTTATACCAAATTCTCTAAATTAACATCAAAAGAGTTGTATGACAGACAGTAAGGAGAATTACTGATGAGATCTTGGGAGTGAAAGGGTTAAAGCTCTACATTTGAGTTAATATATGATTGAATGAAATAAACTACAACTCGATGACAGAAGCCTGAAGGGTGAAACATTTGAACTTAACCCTTTAACCCCATTAGAGTGACTAGCATCTAATTTCTCCTTACAATATCAGCCTTGAATCACATATTAAGGTCATGAGAATAACGGAAATGATCAACAACTACAGAAGCTCTGGATCGTTAAGTTAATTCTCCCTGTCAGCACCTCAGGAAATGTATCGAGAACAGTATGGAGAATATGAATAGTGATGTTAGGGTGTAAAGCTATGTTAAATTTGTGATGATATCGTGTGCAGGTGATCTATTTTATACAATCAAAGAGGGAATCGATGTGCCTGCCTAGATTTGTTCCTTCTCTCGCGGTATTATGAATTAGTTTTTATCCAGTCTTACTCAATATTGTCAAATTTTATCAATCATTTCTTTTCGTGACTATGGACCTGAACGACGTTTCAGTCCATAAACACTCCAATATTCATTATGTTCACGGTTATATTTTATCAATCAACTCTTCTGACTTCGCGTTATCATTTGTTCTCCGAAAAAAAGAACGTTTCTGGCCGTATAATAAACAAGTAGTTCACCAGTACTGTGCTCAATATTGCCACTCGAGATCATACAAGTCGAATTAAAAGCGAAAAAAAAGGAAAACAAAAAACACCAATAGTTCGCCAAGTAATCTTGACTGAGCGCTTGTTCAATGACGAACATACTTTCCGCCAAGAAAGCTTTGTATCTTTGCCTAATCGACAAAAATCTCTCGCAAAGAATGTTGTAAAACGGGTAATATAAGTAAGGCTTTAAATTTCTGTAACGACTCAGCTTTCTGGTGACTGCAGTCAATATTATTTAAGTAAAAGTGACAGTTACTTCAAAATTCATAGTTCGTGAGCATGCATCCCGGTATCACTCGTGCAGTGACAAGCGGTAGTCGTTTAAAGCCTTTAAAAGGAGCAGTAAGAAATAAAAACTAATGTCCTCCCTTGCTAAGTAGGAAGGTTACGGCCTCAGTTTTACCAAATTTTTTTGCGATTTTTAACGGTGTGTGACCTCTAATATCTTTTGAATTAACATCCAAACCAAGTGACAGCATTTTTGTGATGATTGCGACATTACCGCCCGTTGAAGCGGCATGCAGTAAATTTCTTCCTGACTGGTCTCTAATATAGGGATCGGCTCCTTTGTCTAAAAGATAATTTACAGCTTCAATCTTGCCAAACGCTGCAGCCAACATCAATGGTGTATGTCCTCTATTATCTTTTATATCGATCTCTAGACCACGTGACATTAGTGTCTCGATGATTGCGACATTACCACCCTCTGAAGCGGCGTGCAGTGAATTTCTTCCTAACTGGTTTGTAATAGAGGGATCGGCTCCATTGTCTAAAAGATAATTTACAGCTTCAATCTTGCCAAAACCTACAGCCAATTTCAATGGTGTAACTCCTCTATTATCTTTTATATCGATCTCTAGACCACGTGACATTAGTGTCTCGATGATTGTGACATTACCACCCTCTGAAGCGGCGTGCAGTAAATTTCTTCCTAACTGGTCTCTAATACAGGGATCGGCTCCATTGTCTAAAAGATAATTTACAGCTTCAATCTTGTCACAAGCTGCAGCCCACATCAATGGTGTACTTCCTCCACTATCTTTTGAATCGACATCTAGACCACGTGACATTAGTGTCTCGATGACGGTGACATTACCACCCTCTGAAGCGGCGTGCAGTAAATTTCTTCCTAACTGGTCTCTAATACAGGGATCGGCTCCATTGTCTAAAAGATAATTTACAGCTTCAATCTTGCCACAAGCTGCAGCCAACATCAATGGTGTATCTCCTCTATTATCTTTTATATCGATCTCTAGACCACGTGACATTAGTGTCTCGATGATTGCGACATTACCACCCTTTGAAGCGGCGTGCAGTGAATTTCTTCCTAACTGGTTTGTAATAGAGGGATCGGCTCCATTGTCTAAAAGATAATTTACAGCTTCAATCTTGCCACAAGCTGCAGCCAACATCAATGGTGTATCTCCTCTATTATCTTTTATATCGATCTCTAGACCACGTGACATTAGTGTCTCGATGATTGTGACATTACCACCCTCTGAAGCGGCGTGCAGTGAATTTCTTCCTAACTGGTCTCTAATACAGGGATCGGCTCCATTGTCTAAAAGATAATTTACAGCTTCAATCTTGCCAGACAATGCAGCCAACATCAATGGTGTATCTCCTCTATTATCTTTTATATCGATCTCTAGACCACGTGACATTAGCGTCTCGATGATTGCGACATTACGACCCCCTGAAGCGGCGTGCAGTGAATTTATTCCTAACTGGTTTGTAATAGAGGGATCGGCTCCATTGTCTAAAAGATAAGTTACAGCTTCAATCTTGCCAAACGCTGCAGCCAACATCAATGGTGTATCTCCTCTATTATCTTTTATATCGATCTCTAGACCACGTGACATTAGTGTCTCGATGATTGTGACATTACCACCCACTGAAGCGGTGTGCAGTGAATTTCTTCCTGACTGGTTTGTAATACAGGGATCGGCTCCATTGTCTAAAAGATAATTTACAGCTTCAATCTTGCCAAAAGCTGCAGCCAACATCAATGGTGTATCTCCTCTATTATCTTTTATATCGATCTCTAGACCACGTGACATTAGTGTCTCGATGATTGCGACATTACCACCCTGTGAAGCGGCGTGCAGTGAATTTCTTCCTGACTGGTTTGTAATAGAGGGATCGGCTCCATTGTCTAAAAGATAATTTACAGCTTCAATCTTGCCAGACAATGCAGCCAACATCAATGGTGTAGCTCCTCCATTATCTTTTATATCAATCTCTAGGCCACGTGACATTAGTGTCTCGATGATGTTAACATTATCATCCTTTGAGGCTGCGTGCAGTGGAGTAATGCCAGAGTGGCCTACAATAAAGGGATCAGCTCCTTTCTCTAAGAGGTAATTTACGGCATCTATTTTGCCACTAGAAACAGCTAAAATCAAAGCCGTATTACCATCATTATTTTTTGTGTTGATATCCAGGCCACGTGACAACATATTCTCGATGATGGCAAAGTTGCCAGTCTGCACAGCTGATGACAGTGAGTTCCAATCGTCGCCTGCTACCGTTTGAGTGTCACGTTTATCTGAACAAAAAAAAGATAAATGAAAAAAAATTTCACAGCAGAAGAGACATACCTTTCCGTACTTTGTAATAATAAGAACGTTTATACTCAATATGTAAAAATAGACAGTCAAAGATTGCATTTGGCTTCTGATATAAAACAATTTTTAGAACATTGGAAAGAACTAGAGGTTGTACAATGACGAAAGGATATAGTTTTGCTGGGGTTCGCTCAAAAGCCTTATGGTTCCCCTACCCTCTGGGCCCCAACAATGTTACTTATGCTTCTTTTAGCTTTCTTATTTTATTGCGATTCCATTTTTTGAGACATTTTTTTCATACAAAACGGCATTCCGCGTTTTAGGATATTCCGTCATTACGCCGATCCACCGTTCCTCCATTCCATTTTTCAGTTATATAATTCAAGGTATCGTATCTCGCAGCTTGCTCACTTCGCAAATTGAGCGGCTCTTTTCAGCATAATAATAATAATAATAATAATAATAATAATAGTAGTAATAATGATAATAATAATAATAATAATAATTGCGGGCGGCAAGAGGAGCACACAATCCTAATCTCAACGTTGCTTTTACAAACGCATGCGCGGCAGTTGTGTAGTTTGGCCCTGACTCGATTTTGCTCAAATAGTGAGTCTACCACTAAGAATGTATGGAATGCAAAGTACGCTATTTTCTCATGCGCATCACGCATAATCTGGACCTTGGAACACGTGAAGCTAACGCATAGAAGCAGCGCCGACCAATCCAAATCAAGCGTGTCAATATCTGGATTCGACGTTTCCGTTCATGTCGCGTTGGATGCCATTTCTCGGCCGCATTCCGCCTCAAGCGAGTAGTGAGAGTGTTGTTCGTCTGTTAGTCCTTGACCTCAAGCGTCGAGCGAGAGTCGTATTTGTTCGTCCTTTACTTCAAGCGTGGAGCGTCGGTATTGTTCGTCCTTGACCTGACAAGCGTTTAGTCTGAGATAGTTGTCTTGGATCTCATAGAAGCGTGGAGCGAGAGCGTTTTTCGTCCTTCAGTCCTTGGAACGGGAGCGTTTATACATTATATTGTGGAATAATCTGAAATTTCTTCATATTGGTCGTTTCGTTTCAGTAATAAATAAATAATTGTTGCGTTACATCAATGATTTTGACTCGATCAATACGCGTATTTCATAACCTACAGTGATTTTCTTTACACCATGAAACAACAACAATTACAGCATATTACTAAAACTAAGCAAAACAAAACAAGGGAACTAGTGTCCCGTGGAATGATCCAGTGTTGGTAACTGTTTCACAGGTTTATTAAAATCACTCTATTGTTAGGGTCAAAATAGAGGAAAAAGCGATTGGAGCACGGGGGGTGTCCTCATGGACTAAATTTTCAACCCCGCAAAACAAATTTTTTCTCCCTATGGGCCCCCAAATCTTTCATTAACCAAATAGCCAAAAATGCATCGTCCTCGCCCGCATTTCCTAACCTTTGGTAATTGCTATTAATAATAATAATACTTAGCAAGGTAATTTGGTATTATCAACTGAGTTGATAAGTTTAACGTAAATTGGCCATCGTTAAGGGTTTCAAAGCTGACGTTTCGAGCGTTAGCCCTTCGTCAGAGCGAATGAAGGAATTGTGGCTCCTGTGTGTGCTTCTATGCAGAAAATGGATCAACGCTTTTGGTGGGAACATGGTAACTAGCATAGATAAGTTGAACGAAAAGTGTTCGTTGATAACCTGGGACTGAGAGTGCCGATTTGAAAGATAACTTTTTTTGTTCGAGGGTTCTGCGGCATTCAAAGAATAAGTTTCACCTTCTATACAGAACATTTCAAACACGGTTTCCAGCATTTCACGAAGAATGATAACGGTTTTTTTTGCTGTCATCACAACAAGATCAAAAACTAAACAAGAACAGAATGATAGCTTTTTACATAGATTCTAAGAGTATAAAGCATTTCTGTAAACTTTTAACTCAGTCATGTGATTTCTTATATTTCAATTTTGATCGTTTGACTGATCGATGTAAACCAAAATATAATGAAATGTACATGTATTCTTGAGACATGGTTGAGTCAATCTTGATATGACATTTAAATATCGCATTGGATTGATTGACTTAACCATCACTATTGGGCAGTCGTTTTGAATTCGATGAATATCAATAGAAATCAATAAACTATTGGTTTGGTGGTGTTTGTTGGATCCAGAGTGACTGCTTAGCAGTGTCCGAGATATATTGCTGTATTATTTAAAAGGAGTTGAACATATTTTTCATATTTTTAAATAAACTTATAAATGTTATTATATATTAATATTTTTTTACGTTATATTATTGTAACACGACCCCACAAACCTCTGGCTTTAAATACTTATCGTGTTTAAATAAAGTTTTATTATTATTATGATTATCACAGAAACTAAGATTGGTAATTTTGACTTTTCGATACTGACCACCGATATCCACGTCAAATTCAGATGGTGCTCCTTCAGTTCCCATACCGCTGTCAGATGCTTCAGACATTAAACTTTTCGTCTCAAACTGTAGACTTTCCACGTACATTTTGGTAAAATTCCATTTGTGTTCGTCAATACCCCGTGGCTTGTCTGCGAGCCTTTCGTAACTGGCATTCTGAACTAAAAAAAACATAAAGAAACAACATGTTTTTGCCTAAAAATGTCTTTTTAAAGTAGGAATGCATTTATGTGATGAGAAGCTTTTTGGATGTTTAACAGTTTGCAGTGGGAGCAGGTTGAAGATAGAAAAACTTAAGAAATAAACTATGGCACTCCTCGCAAGCTTTCCGCGTGCGGTCGAGGTATAATCAAGAGAATACAAACAATCTCTTGGTATAATCTACTCTCGCTTTTATCAATTGAATCATCAAATTTTCCGCGCACATGTACATATCTAATTTGATATATTAAAAGGCTAGAATGTCTAAATGCATTGTCTCTGAAAAGCCTTTGTAAGGAAAGTCAGTAAAGCACAGATATTTGCGAGCATGTAAGGAATGAAATCTCAAAAGGCCTGATCTGTTTCAATTCAGTTATGAATAGTTTTAACGAATCTCAGATTTTCTTTCGTTGGAGGAATTTGGTTGTGACACGAAAAAGTTTACCTGACTACCCCCCCCCCCCCAAAGCTCTGTTGTATTCTTATGACCCCCCTCTCCTTGGTGGCAGTAAAATGGCAGATCATTTTCTACAGTCCCCCCCCCCCTTTTATATCATGTTGGTAACGACTGATCCCCCATGAAAACCATGTGTTCCCTCAAGAAAATCCTCCACTAACCAAGAACAATCTTTTAAGTAAAATTCAGTCCATGTTAATCTCCCAGAATCAATGTTAATAGTACTTTTGAGTACGTTTTTTCAAAATAATTTGTCTGTTATGGCATAAAGTGGCGTTTTTCCTCGATTTTTATCATACCCATACCTATGTATTTAGCGGTTAACCTGTATTAAGCGGCAACCCCGTCATTCCCCGTGGGTGACCGCTTAATAAAGGTTTGACTGTAAATATTTTATTTAGCTTATCTTGAATGTTTGCATAATTTACTTACCTTCCTCTGTTGGAATTATTTCCGTGCCCATCCTTGTCTCCAAAAACTCAAGTGGAAGTCTGGTCGTTTGTGTCTCTTGATTCTCCACTCTCTCCTTTAGAAGTTGGACATCATTCTCGAGTCTTTTCACTTTTACTTGCAATGTTTCATCCTCGTTCGGCGTTGTTGATATCACTGAATCAGAGTGTTCACATTTTCTTCCTGGCACCTTCGCAGGACCTAACAATAGACAATTTGCAGGCCACTGTGAGTTTCTTAGCTGAAGTTTCGAGGGTTAGCCCATCCCCTGCACGAAAAAATGGATTTACTCGGGTTTGCCAAGTGAGCAAATATGCAGCAAATTCAGTGATCTAAATTTGCACCGCATTTGCAAAAAAATACATCAATATGCTGATTTGTTCTTACGGTGTTGGTGCGCAAATGTAATGTAAATGCGACAGTGTGCTCTTTATTTACTTAATCCTTGCACATAGGGCAATTTTTTAAAAACGACGTGAGTTTGCGAAAACTTTACCCTCTTTGCAAAAAATAGTAGTTTGCCTTGGAGTGCAAAACCAGGCAAATATAGTGCAAAACTTATTTTTCACTACTATGTTTGAATACGTTTGCTCAAGGGATGCAAATGTTCATCTTTGCTTATAGCTTGCTCTGAATTGGTGTAGGAGCAAGAATTGATACCAATAAGTGCTACATGTAAGTTTGTTTACAGTAGTGCATCTCAGAGTAAAAAAAAATCAAGCTATATTAGTATCTGCATGGATTGCACAATACAACTACTGTACAATTACTCATAACAGAAGCCTAAGTAAACCTAGAAATGGATAACTTGCTAAAATGGGTTCTTTTCAACATAGTAAGCGGTCAGATAACAAGCGATGCACTGTGAAAGTAGGGTGAGGTTTTTTTTAAAGAGATTTTGACTTCCTTTTTTTGTTCCTATGAGCCATCGTAAATATTCCCATACAAACTCTTATAATTTGGCCATGACTCTTATTTCGCAAGATGATCATCACACAGCTGGAGCTCGGTTTGCCTGTACGTATTCTGATCAAAACTCACTAAATTTCAGTTGGTGAAGGACATAGTTGACTGTGAGTATTTGCGTTGCCTCTTATTTAGACATAATACAAAATCGAGTGCAAGAGACCGGAGAGATGTTATCTTTAATAATAAACGATGACATCGCTCGCATCCTAATTAAACGCATCTTCTAAGTGCTTAATATACAGGGCTAGTAATATCAGCAGCGACACCCAAAATAAATCAAATCAGTGAGGAATCTACCACCGATATATTCCTTTATGCTCACATTGGCGATTTAACAAAATAACCGATAACAATATTTAACAGATGGTTCCAGAGAATTAGCAGATCTAATGAATAAAACTTAGAAACCGTTTTGTATCCAATAGATTGGTCAGTGGATCGAAGATTTGGCACCTAAAATATTACAGTTTTTACTTTATTTTTTGGCATGATACTTCCTCTATATTAGAGCCGATAGAGATATTCGTTTACTTTTTAATCAGATTGTGACATTTTACCATTTACTATCCTTTCTCGCATAGCTAGAGAAACAAATCCTTTAATTGCATAGTTACCTTTCTCAAATGGAACCATTTGAGTCTCTACAGCTTCTATTCTTTCCTCCAGAGACTTGACTTGGTTCTTAAGTTGTGCTATTGTTATCAGAGAATTTTCATCTGTTCTGGGTGGGAGGGATAACACTGAGTCGGAGTGCCTACGAACACCTCGTTCCGGAGGTCGCTTCTGGTTACCTAATGGTGGTCAGAGAATCATTTTGATTATTTTTAGATCTATTGCAGTTTTCATACCTGACACACGCACACGCACACCCACGTACCCACCACACACGATAAGGGGAAGATGCAGGATTTAGTGAAGGGGAGTTCAGATAAATGTCCACTGAAAGCGGACCATTCAAGAGCGGTTGGGGGTATGCATCCCTCGGAAAATTTTTAAATGGGATCAACAAGTAATATTTTCCTGGCATATCCAATTTAAGGTTTTTGTAAAAAAACTGCAAGTGTTTTCAGGTTTTCATTTCAGTTTAGGAGGTTCGGCCGAGCCACCCGAACAACCGTAGATCCGCCAAAGAAATTCATTACAAATTTGAACGCCATGGTTTGCAATTAAAGAACTGAATTCTCCTCCATATTTCGTCTCCGTTATTTCAGTGATTGAATATTAACCTGAATACCGAAAATAGAATGGGCTGTCGAAGTTTAATTCCCTTAATTAATGGTATTGCTTCGGAAATTTAAAGTGAAAAATTGCCAGCAACGATAACGTCGAGTCGAACAAGGCAATGATCCTATTCCACAGTTAATTGTTTGGCCAATAAATTATATCTATCTGATTTACTCAAAACAGCCCTTGTTCATAACTTAATGTGGTTGAAGCAGCAGCAAAGCTGTGCAATTAAACCTATTCTTCTTGTTATTGAACGGCTAAATTCCTACAGTTCAACAACCAAAACAAAATTAAGCGGGAAATATAATGAGCCAATGAGACTGACCAGCCCAAGTCGGCAAGTTGTTTAAGTATACAATAACGCAAATTGAGCCAAAATCGAGCAATCCATACAGTAGTAGTTTTTTTTTAACTTTTGCTATTGAAGCAATAACCCCGGAGGAGATCGGCCTGCGAGCGTACATAAAAAGATCCCCAGTGTTGTTGATTTTAAACACGTATCAGCAAACCACTTTGTTTTAATTAACATCCTCTGCCTTCTTCAAATTCAGTTCGCTACACCTTACTCACCGTAAGCTTCTTGAGCAAGCTCAAAGTAAGCTTTCTCATATTCTTCTTTTTCAATCGTCACAGTCAATTCCACATTCTCTTCACCACCGGCACGGGTCTTCATTTCATCAGTCACAAAAAAGTCGAATAAACGTTCCTTGAGCGTGCCATCCTCGTACATGTTCCACAAAGCAGTAAGCCCCATGAGATTGTCGACCTGAATTGTAAAGCATACGCACCCTTGACCCACTTCAATCAATTTTGAACCAGCAGGAAGCACACAACCCTGGAAGCTGGTGACTAACTGATCATAAGTTGACCAGCGAGTCAAAATCTCACGGACAGAGAGTAAGGTTATTCCCGCTGCTGCAACTCTACACACTGTCTTCATGTTCAGTACTGAAACAAATAGCACTAAATTAAATTTTGAATGTTGATATTTAAAATCATTTTTGGTGGTAGTCTGGCGAAGATCATTGTAAACAAGCTGGAAAAGAACCGTAAGAGGTGACAGAATATGACTGTCAAACATCGAGGGATTTCACCATAGATACATGAACTTTGATTGATTCTGAATGTGTAGAAGCACAGCAGGCCCAAGCTCCAGCTGTGAGATGATCATCTTGCGCAATAACAGTCATGGCGGAATTAGAAGAGTTTGTATGGGAATATTTACGACCGCTCTAAGGAATAAAAGAATACGTATACCTTACTTCCACAGCGAATCACTTGCAATCTGACCGCTTACTTAGATAAAATGAACCCATTTTAGCGAGTTGTCCATTTTAAGGTTTTCTACGCACATAAGGAAAGCCCAAGGCTGAACACTCCATTTCCGAACGCCCGATCCGAATAGCGAAAAATCCCAGCGCAAAATGACCACGCGGCCACAAATCCAACGCAGAATCCAAGCACATATACTGCAGTTTCATTTCAATTCACTACAAACTCAATCTTCCCCGTACAACCGACGCTAAGCCGCAGTTTGCATCAAAAATTTCCAATTTATAGGTTTCTAACAGCCCGGGTACACATCAACCTTGACACGCGTTCGGAAATGGAGTGTTCAGCCTTGGGCTTTTCTTGGGTACGTAGAAAACCTTCAAATGGACAACTCGCTAAAATGGGTTCTTTTCATCAAAGTAAGCGATTAGATAACAAGTGGAGTATTTTTTGCATGTATTTGTCGCGTATTCAATGGTTCTCGAGGGGAATATATATAACGGCGTAATAGATATGTAAGATTGTACGCCAGTACACAGCGTTACCATTGTTATTCCCATATATGCTCAACCGTGTTGTAAATCAACTTTCCTAAGTAAAAGCAAATAAACTAATCGCGAGTATTGTATGGTAAAGTCTACTATATTGATCATTGAAGAAGAACAGTTGAATTAGAGCAGTGAAAGGAATTATTTGACCAATAAATAGCTCTATATTGGGCAAGGCGACGCGCCGGGTAAGCCGGAAAACAAAAGGTAGCCGACCGTTACAAGGTGTTGATAGGCTTGTGCAGCTCCTGCTCATTCGCTAGCGCTTTGAAATCTTATCTCCTCAAAGTTTAGCTGTTATAAAGATATCTTTTAATGATTTTCCTTTGCGATGTGATAATAAGGGTTAGTTTTAAGGTGTCATTTCCCCATCTGTATGTTCTTGAGGTTTCAGTGGCAAAGCTGGATGAGATTGTGTCACGAAACACAATATAAATTTTCCTCTGTGTGCGTTTGTTGTTTTAAAGTGTACTTTCTCTGCCGCAGAAAATGACTCCGGAGATACGTTTCTCAAACATTCATATACGTATCCTCTATTCTTTAGGCGTATCATGAAACTCTGTACGTTTTCTATCAATCGTGGAGTGTAATATAATTGAAGTTGTTGCCAATGTTGAGCTGGCAACTTTCTGTGGATTCGCATTTCGAAAATGTCACCTACTTCTTAGCGTCTAAACAATACAACACTCAGTTGTCCTCTTTCGCAATGCTTTTCGTAACTTTCGTGTCTGCATGTAGTCGCTGGTACAATGCATACTAGGCTCAGCGAAATGTCAACATTTTCAAGATATCTTAACAACCGTCTAAAGAATCCTTGTTACTGTTCATGTTATCATTATGAAACTTTGCTTCCGAGTTGCTGATCATCTTCAAACAGCTTGAAGCTTACAGCGTTTAAGTGTTAGTGACTCATTATATTATAACTAATGTCACATTATACTCGATCATCCTCTTTCGAATATGTGGTCGATAAAATAGGTTGCATTAAGTTGACCGAAATGCCACCTTCTTCAACATGTTTTAACAAACGTCAAAGGATTCAGTTTAATTCTTTGTTATACTAGTGCACGATGTTGCCTCTGGGTTGATGACCGTCTTCAAACAGCTCGAAGCGTGCCGGGTTTGAGTTAGTTAAAAATTATACATCGATAATATTATACTGTTCTCAATTGCCCTCGAAATTTGCAAGGGCTGAGTTAGTTAGTTGTCCACTTTCGCAATGCATCTTCTGTGGTCACGAAAACAATCTGCTCAGCGAAATTTCAACACTTTCAAGATATCTTTACAACTGTCTAAAGAATCCTTTTTAATCTTCATTTTGTTAGTGTGCTACTTTGCTTCTGAGTAGCAGATTGCCTTCAAACAGCTCAAAGCTTACAGCGTTTGAGTTGGTGAATCATTACATCATTAATAATGTCACATTACACTCGGTTGTCCTCTTTCGGGTCTGCGGTCAATAAAATGGTTCGCATTTAGCTGATCGAAATGATTCAGTCTAGTTCTATATTTCACAAGTCGGCAATGTTGCCTCCAGGTTGATAATCGTCTTCAAACAGCTCGAAACGTACAGAGTTTGAGTCAAATGATAATTATACATCGAAAATATCATAGTGATCTCATCTGTCCTCTTTTGCGATGCTTTGCGAATCTGCGAATCTGAATAATAAAAATTTCCATTTAGGTTATCGAAACGCAAAATACTTTAAGATCTCTTAACAACGGTCGAATAATTCAGTTCGACTCTTCATTTCAGCAGTGGGCGCTGTTGCCCTTTATTGCCGATCCTTTCAAGGAGCTCGAAGCCGTTACATGGTTTGAGTTAGTAAATCATAACTTCCTTGCTAATTTCATATTACACTCAGTTGTCCTCTTCCTCCGACTCAAAAGTTGTAAGCTTCAAGCTGTTTGAAGACGATCAGCAACTCGGAAGCAAAGTTTCATAATGATAACATGAACAGTAACAAGGATTCTTTAGACGGTTGTTAAGATATCTTGAAAATGTTGACATTTCGCTGAGCCTAGTACGCATTGTACCAGCGACTACATGCAGGCACGAAAGGTACGAAAAGCATTGCGAAAGAGGACAACTGAGTGTTGTATTGTTTAGAGGCTAAGAAGTAGGTGACATTTTCAAGGATGATCGAAATGCGAATCAACAGAAAGTTGCCAGCTCAACATTGGCAACAACTTCAATTATATTACAACGAATTCTCCATAGAGTAGGTCTCATTTTCTTGGAAGTTTTTAAAAAGCTAACTACTCGGCAAAGGAATACGCTTTCATTTGCAGTAATCTAAAATTAAAAACTCAAGAAGGTAGGGTGGGTTCGATTTACTACAGATATCCTGTTGCATAACAAAAGGTGCCGTAATAGGCTCCTGTAATATTATGTTGAAATAAACTTCATGGTGTTTGGCTGATCAATATTCTACGTGGTAGTTGGTGGCTCGCGTAGCCACAAAATTAGTTACTGGTTTGGCCAATCAGCGAGCGGTTAAGGAAAACAATACAGCTGTTGTCACAATAGGAATTCCCGTAAAATAAATCGCGTTCGATCGATAACTCCGCCAAGATCGTACTCTAGTACGTTGTCTTACGAGCCATGTTCTCTTCTGTCAAATCAATTTCATCAGATGGCTTGCTTGAACGTTGAATGCGTTCTAAGTATTTCAAAACAAGGGTTAATCTGTTGAGAATGAATTTTTTACACAACACAGACACAAACAGCAGTTATTTGTCTATTCCCCGCCAAAATTACATTATGGCGCGAAATAAGTGAATTCCGAGTTGAGACATCGTATGCGAGATGGAAGCAAAAACTACATTCGTAACAATGTAATTTCTTCTTAGAATTTGGAAAAGTTTAATTTCCCAGCATGGAAACTGAATGGAGAATGACAAACTTCGTGATTCAAAATACGTTCAAGTCCGGTAAGTTAATTTTTATTGGATTGTTATTACACGTAACATAATTTTTATTATGATAGGATTTATTTATGGAATTTGTGAAACAGATCTGATTAATTCTCCTCGTAAATACAGTGGTAATTAGTTGGGTTAAATTTCAGTAGCATGGTTTGCTTCAACTTTGCATACATCCTGTGCAAAGATCAAAATTGTAACGAAATCGTTGCCTGTAACAAAACAGGGCGGAAAAGTAAGATGACAAGTTTCTCGTGCGTCCATAGGTCAAGTCCTTGCTTGCCTTCTAATAAGCTTTACGGTGTCACGATGACTGTAATGTCATTATCACATTCGTGACAGGAAAGCTTGACTTCTTGCTTTTAAGAACGTTTACGAGCATAAAAAATTTGCGATATTTGTAAAATTTTTTCATCTCGCGGACACGATTATTTTCACGTTCACCGGAAATGAATTCAGTCTTTACAAAGGATAATGGTCATTTGATCGCTTTCTTAGTATTCGGGCGCTGATAAAGAGTGCGGCAAAACCGTGGTGGCAATTTCTGTCAACGATCTCTGTCAACGATTTCTGTGGAATTGTAAGCAATCGGGTGCCTTTCCATTGCTTTGTTAACCACAAAGTATTCAATATATTTCTAAGGTGAAATATACTGAATGTAACTGATTTTTTTGCCGCAAAATTACAACGATGACAAAGCTTTACAAAAAGCTTCTACGCGTCTAGCGCTAATGAATAATCCAATTTATGGGGAAACATTACTACTCTTAAAGCAGAAATGCCCCATCTATTGTTGTCTGTTTTCTTTGTTGTTGACAGAAATAAAACAGGCAAACCTTAATTTAGAAATGACCTGACCTATATTCTTCCATGTCATTGGTTTGTTGAGGAACTTAGTTGCTGAAGAGCACGTTTCATATTGCAAACCAAATCTGATTGGTTGACACAGTAACTCATATCCTAAAGAACTAATTAAAAATGTATTTGAGATCTGATTGGTTCATTCAGGAACTAAGATACCTAAAATTTCAAGTACACATTAAAATGGTGAATGGGGATGTGTTTTAACAACAAAGGTTCTCTTTACATGCAATCAACTCTCCTATACAAGTTATTCGTCTAACCGTATTTCCTGAGCGCTACTAAAGCCCCATCAGAGCAAGCTTTTTCTTAAACATGTAGATTAGTGATATTCTCTTAGCAGATAAAACCAGAAACGATAGTTAAGGGCAAATAACGAAACCTGAGTGTCGCATCTTTTACACGAACCTTTTGAAAAAGAAAGCGAGTAGGCATAGAACGAACGACTTCATGGCTACCCAGGAACATTCTGGCTATGCCTAGTTGGGAACTCTACAGGCTTAAGAACTCTAGGAATAAAGACGGTCTAATAGCATCTTAAGAACAGATTTTCCAGCGTGCAGTCACCTATGTAAGCATTATTGATAATGGTAAAGTCTTATGAAGTATGCTTATGCGTACTGCCTGCCGTCGCACCACCTCATCATTGGAAATGACCTGCAAAGACGTACTACTACACAGCAACGATATCGAAATACATACAACATCCACTGGAAGTGACTCGGTTATTATGTCAGTAAAAGCTTCAGAAGGCTTTTTTCACTCAAAGATCACCTGAATTGGTCGTCTCTGACAAACTTAAGATATCACTTCAAGATACCTTGTAAATTTTAATGGAAGCGAACAACTACTTCATATGATAACAGGAAAAAGTTCTACTTACCTTGCGCCACCTTATCGGTCACAACTTTGCCCAAAGAGTAAAATTTCGCTTAAAATGAAAAGAACATAAGAACAAAATTATCACGAGAGACACCACTCAAACACGATCTCCATCGAAGATCGAGGAAAAATTCGATCCTACATTAGTTCAGTGATATGCGGGTGCGAAAACGTACGTAATATTCTGCTGTGTAATATTCGCTTCCGGTGATCTCTCGTATGCTCCTACTAAACTCAACCGCCTTGAGCGTTTTCATACGCAAACTCAAAATTTTTATTTACCTTTTCTTATTTCTGCTCTATCGTTCTTATTTCGTCGCTGCTCATACTCCTCGATCTCTTTCACCAAGTCCTCCTTCTCTATTTCTGTCAAAATCTCTTTTAGAAAGTCAAGTGCACAAAAGTCCAAACTTTCATGTTTCTCCAGTTCTTCGAACAATGTTCGAACATTGGAAATACTCTCATCAAGCTCCAACGATGTCTGTCTTCTACGGCAAATATCCTTGAGTTGTTCCAGATGATTGCGTTCGTCGCTATCGAGTGCATCGCTTATCTTTGCAAGTAAGTTTTTGCATCCTTTCCTTTCCTTCTCGAACTCCATAAGTTTTTCCAACAGAGTGAACTCTGCGAAATTCTTCAAGACTTCCTTCAAAACTCCAAGTCGGTCAATTCCCAAGTGATTCTTTCCTTCTAGTCTTTTCAGTAATGAACGGGCGTCTGGTATGTTATCAGCCTCGTCGTCTAATCCACACGTCTCGAGTAACTGTTGATGATCATGCTGACTGAGTTGTCGGCCTATCTTAGAGAGCAGACCCCTGTATGTGTAATAAGACATGGCGATGTAGCACAGTTTCAATTCTTGAAAAGGCTGTAGTGGTTTATTTGATGGCCGCTTTTGACTCACTTACGATAGCGGAAGGAGTTGTCTCAATTGGTCACGCAAAGTTGAGCGGTTGTCACCACCCTATCAGTTTCAGAATTTCAAATTATTATCCTCTCAAGTCGCGTCTGCCTGTCCTGGGATCACGCATTGTGGGTAACTTGGATGAACGGTGTATGATGATGGTAGTGGGTCTTTATTCTAATTAATCACCCTTAGTAATGCAAAGGCTATGTGAGATATGTTCCTGCTTTGGCAATTTATGGATTTTCGTAGTCACCATATGACGACGAATCCTTCAATGGAAACCGACTCCAAAGATGTCCACTGACATATCCGCCTCCATTGACCCAAGCTTGAATTGTGAAAACGTCACCGTTACCATGACTACGAACCCTTCTAGGGAAACCTAATATTTATGGAGGCTCTTTTGTCTTTACCCAGCTTGTTTGCATTAAAATAGCTGTTTGTCTCATAAGGTTAAGCAGGATGAAGCGGTTAGTAAGTGCGTCTCTCTTCAAAATTATAGTTTATTTTTTTCGAACATCAGCAGCGCTGGATTTTTTTTTTTGTTTCAGATCCACTGATTTTGAGCTTCATCCCTCTAACATTTTCCGAGAAAATCGATGCTGAAACGACGATCATAGCTTTCTAAATATGATCGGTGCCAAACTCAGTGACCAAAGGAATTCTAAGCACGCAGGCCGTTTCAAATCACCATACAGTGCCGCAACTTCCCGTGACAGCCTACCGCGGTTCAAAACCAAGCCAAGCGTGCTGTGGAGTTGTGTAAGGTCGAAATGTGGCTGAACTTCTCCGTTTGCATTGATGTATCAAACAAATTATTTTTGCTAAGAATCAGCCGGGTTGTGAAAACGCACCAGAGCTAGCGAGGTAGGGCAGAAATAGTGCAAATATGTGACAAGAGAAGGAAAACATGTCGGAATCGTGTTGCGGCCTGATAAGGGTCAAAGTCCTTCAGATGGCTCAGCTTAAGAGTAGAAGGTTTATCAGGGACTGGATTGAAGGATGGGGTCGGTGAAATTTGACTAAACAGGATAAGTAAGGTAAATATACAAACAGGATGAGGAAAATTGGAAAAGGCATTGATTTTAAGGATCTTGTTAACCGTGTCTTCCGTTTCTTGTTTCTCTGTTTGCTGAAAGACAATTGCTTAGGACGTATGTTTCTCGAATTGTCTTAACCAGGCACTATGACGCAACAACAGTATATTCTGTTCTCATCCGTAAATTTCTCAGAAAATCATCTCTCTCGGAAGTTTTCCAACAGGTTTTGTATTTTCGTACTCGACCTGTCTCCAGCTCACATCATAACACACTGAACGCGGCGAATGCTGTTACTATAGAAATACGCCTTTGGAATTTCAGACCTTTACTCATTCAGCTCTTCACGGAAAAGATAGATGTTTAAATATCAATACCACTGGCAACTCATCAAATCTTTAATAAGTTAACTTTAGTTAGAACTGCAAAACAAAAGAACTTAACCTACGAACGGTACACAAATCAAGAAAGCCACAAACTGCGGGCAGAAATGGGAAACTTTTCTCGCTCCGTAACTGCCGAAAACCAGTTACAACTAGTAGCACTCCTGATGAGAGGGAACCAGCGACTGGTTTTGCTGTTATTCCCTACATTCAGGGTGTTACGGAACCCATCAAGAGAATTTTGAATGGTCACAACGTTAAAGTTGCTCAAAAACCTTTTCAGACTTTGGGGCATATTTTTGCCAACCTAAGGATCCTGTCACGAAAGAACAACGAACCGACGCTATTTACTTACTTCCTGACGCCTATTTACACCTCGTCAGAAAAAAGGGCAGCTAATTAGAGAGCGTATAAAAGGACCTCTTGTTGTAGCGTTAGATCACCCCTGATGAAGCCACTAGACAGGAGTGTCGAAACGTTGGGTCTATAAATTGTAACTTCTCCGTTACATTCGTTAAATCTTAAAACCAGAGTAGCATCAAACCATGTCAAACAACCATTTTAATACATTTAGTCTTTTCTATCACAACCTGTAACATTTGTGAGGAGGCAATGTCTCTTCCATTTACATTTTTCTTATACAAACTGTTTTGATAATATTAACAGTTGAACTGAATCTAGTTTACCTCTTTTTTTTCAATATAATTTTGCTCAAATTAAGCATGATACCTCTAAGCAGCCCAACCCTTTTTTATTTTTAACAAAATAAGGAGAACACGAGCAGTTATTTAAATAACGTCTTCCTGGCAATAATCGCCTTTTTTGCTAATTCTGGTTGGACCATTTAATTCCCAGATCCAAGCGGCAATTTTCTCTTCTGACTGACATACAATTCCCTCTGATTGAGACTGGATAATATGGTGTTATATCAGAAATCACTCCGGCTAATAAGCATGTCTAATCTCCTAAACTGTTTGTAAGACAACATATATGAATCGTAAGGAGAAGTGAAACTTTGATCATTCCTGGGAGTCAGTACTAATTTATAACAATTATAACACAACAAAACAGTTGCCGCCTTTCGTTGTGTTCGTCATTGCCAATACGTTAAATTGCGCATGTGCACATCACACTCCCGCTGAACAGCTAAGTAAAGTACATGGCTCCTTTCATCTTCGCGTTGACTTCGATGGCTTTTGCAGATTTCACCAGGTCGATACTGAAACAAGAAGATTCTACTTTTAATAAAACTTTACAAGTAAACTGGCTCGGAAGAGGAATCATGTTAAGTAAGGACTAGCGGTGCTAAAAAGTTACAAACGTTCTTTAAGCAACTGACAGTCCAAAGTAAGACAAAGAGACAAAGTAATAACTTGAACACAAATTTCAATAAAAATACAAGGGTCATCAAGTCTGTGAACACTAACCTTCCATTTCCGGTCACGTGGTGTCTGGCTCTGAAAGCCACCAAGTGGGCATAATAGGCGGGGGCTGGCATAGAAACACTGCGTGTGCACCGTGCGTACACGTGACATAACTGGTATGTGAGCTGCTGAAGGCCGTCTGCTGTGAATGAGTTATCGTCATATAACACGTGATAGTGTGTAGGTCGGCTTGTTCCCTATAAGCCGGGGTAAAATCAGAGTAAACTTGATTGAGAAAAAGAAATAAATGACTGTTTGAACAAAGGTAACTACGTCTCATGCATGCCTTAAAACGTCCTCACACAAAACAAATAAGCTAAAATCGATACGAGCTCAACCTGATCACAAAATTGGTGTTTCACTAACTTCAAAATAAAAACCAAGTAATAGCTTGAATCAACTAAATTATGATTTTGTCTGACTTAGGTTACTGGGTAGGTTGTTGTTCCAGAAAGTTTACACAGCTGTCCTAAAGCCATGTTTTAAAATTTTTAGTTCGTGGAAGAGAAATATATGTAAACAATTTTCCTCTCTTTTTAAGGTCACAGGAGGAATAATAATGCCATCCATATGGATAAAGATTTTTCCGTTAGAGACTTTGGAACGAGATTATTCGGAAACCTGAATGCCTTCGAGACTTTTTGAATTTGACAACCCGTATGCAAATCATCCTATACTAGTCCACCACTTAAGCAAACCTCTCGTGATTCATGTCAGAGTTGTACTTATATTTATGAAATGTGTGGAGAGGATGGTGCTCTTTCACACGTTCAAAGATGAATAGAAGACTAAACACAAAGAGACAAAAAAATGCCGTAGCTATTTGAGCAGTTGGTGGGTAATTGTAGATAGCACAGCTACATTGCAACCAAGGAAAGGTAAGGGTTTGATTAACAAAGAATAATCAAGCTCCCAATCACCATTCTCAGAGTAAAAACTCGACATGTCATGTTAAAGCTGATGTACCTGGATTCCATAATGACTGCACAAATAAAAGTCGAATTCATACGGATGTGTGATACCGCTGTCCACTGTTGTACCAGGAGGAACATTCCTTGCTTTGCCAACTTCATCTCGTTGGTTTTCACAGAACAATCTCGTATGATGGCGCTTCTGAACCACAACAAAAGTGATTCTCGGGCGATAATCTTTTTCAAGCATAATACAGGCCTGTTGTACAGCCCGCACCTCATGAACAAGAACTTGGTCAAACTGACCCTCGCTGACTCCGTCCCGGTAGAAGATGATCTTGCTAGGCTTAAGCTTCCGATTGGCTTTGTAAAACTCAATTAAAAGCTCTTTCACCATAACCGCCAAGTCATTTATTATCTCTTGCGCACCTTTACCACTCTTGTGGTTCTGTGCTCGCACTCGTGCACAGTACTTAGTGGCATTAGCGTCCATGCTCGCTACAACAGCAGCAATGGAAGGAATTCCATTTTCAGTCGGGGAGGGGTGGGTGACGTCGGCGCCAAAGATAATAACAGGTTCTCTGAAAACAGGCGACTTTACACCTGGATCTATAACATGATTAATTCCACCAAGTTTGGAGTTAATCTTCAACGCAATGTTGGCGCAAACCTGGGGGTTGGTACGGTTTACGTGTTTTGACTGAACACACTGCGTTGGAATTCCAATGACATTGTCTCCGACACGTTTTATCTCCGGATAGATTTGTTTGTCTCTCTCGGGCAGAATAGCCATGATCAGTTGTAGGCCTGGAATGTCCACAACCCATTTAGAAAACAAACTCTCTACCTGAAAGTATTAAAAATGAAATAAAATCATGGAAGCCTACATGAATTCAAACTCTACTTGTTTTGTAATAAAAGAATTCTAATCAGTCCATAAGTGTAACACAATTTGCTGTTATCATTCTACGAGATGGATCTAACACAGGAGCACTAATTGCTACCTTACGCGTGATCTGAGTTTCTGTACAAAAGTACACCTTATTTGAAAGTTCACCATGTAATACAAACGGACATTTTGCTCATTGCTCGTCGAATAAGGCATATACTATTCCACCGCTGTTTCATTTTCAAGTTTCCAAAATAATCCCTCGGGCATTACTTGAGGGTCGTATCGATCGCTTAAGGAGCGCGTGAAATACAAAAAAAGACACAAATAAAGCCATCTACAAGTGTCCTACGTGACGAAGAGAGAAACAATTCTCTTTTACCTGAAAATTCCTTGCTTGCAAAGTAGAGCCTTAAGGGCGTAAATAATCAAAGCTTGGATCGTTAGTAGCGCCACTCAATTCCTTTGACACCCAATCACTACCCGATGAATAAGTAAACAGCACTGTCCACTCATTCTTCACTGTTCATAGTTTTAGCAAAGAGTACTCTTCTGAACTCTGCTCGGTGGATTTTTCAATGACACTCATTTCGTTTTCACGTAACACTTGTCAAATGTGAAGATATCTCACCTCTCTGGCACCCCTGCCGTATCTCACAACAACTGGCTCCTCTGACATCCTCAAACCCTGTCGACTGGATACATTGCCCATTTGCTTAGAAAAATTTCTCAGCTGGTCTTCCCGACATCTCCTGCAAAAACAAGCCAATGCCCACTTTTCAATGCGGGCTCCATCATGCAGCGATTTGTTGCGCATGTCCCATGAACCATCACGAGGAACCAATGGCTGATCCTGCGGCCCAAGGTTGATTCTGGGTGGTGGAAGCACACGTCCTTCCACCTTAACCATCTCTGTGCTGACTGAGGTTTGGAACTCATCTCTTAAGTATTTACTACTTGCTCGAGTCATTTCTTGTACCTGATAAGATTTACATTAATAAGCATTTTGGATACACGAACAGTTCATAACATTTATTTCAATACGATGCAATTGTGCAAAATTTAGGCGTAAGAAAGTCGTAGCTCAACAAGCTCTCTAAGTTTCAGTCAAGTTGCCAGAGCACATCTCTTGAAATTTTTTTTGTTCATTTTTGAGCAGATTTCTTGAAACAAATAGGAAAAAAATCACAGAATCTCACTGGAAATATTGACCATAAGCAATTATAGAAGAATAATAGTAGTATTGTATCTCTTTTTTAATCAAATTACTTAAGGCGTTAAACAGTCAGTGTTATTATTAATTTACTTTTAATTCGGCTAGCGTTGATCAGAGGTGTCAGTTGAGTACATAGGATCATCCTGGTAGTTAGACAGCGGTGTAAGGTACTAACTGATAAACGTAATCTCAAAGCTTTCGACAAGTTTCCCCAAACTTTCAGCCGCTTTTGGAATATTCATCATTAATTTAAGGTTGGTGAGGCCATTTACCATACTTTTCTTGCCTCAACTACAGTTCACCATTTTCTCGTTAAAAATATTTCTGTCAAACATGTAGATCATTGTTACTCGATGTAATAAAGTTCACTAGTTGTATAATTGAGCGTGTTGTGACGGTAAGTCTGCTGACTAGCAAATAAGGTTTTCGCATGTTCAGTTCCTTCGTGAGACTCAACTGATATCTGAGAATTGGTAAAAAATTTAACAGTCTGCTGAGAAATGCCGCGTACTAAATGACATCTGAGATTTGAGAGCAGAAAAGGTTACCGATAGATGAGAAAAAGGGCGAATTGCGCATATCAGGTGCTAATAAATTTAGGTAAGGTATCGGAAACGGTTATAAGCCGTGTTTTTTGCAATTAGCCAAAGCCTACAAATTTGAAAGAAACAAATTTGGTCCGAGTGCCATAAAACAAACTAACTAATTTCGCTTAATCAAGTTGCACATCGGAATGTTGGCCAACGGTCGTTTTTGTAAGGACCTCGCTGTGCTCGGTCCGTGCTGCCACAGCCTCGGACCAATATTCTCCACTACGACCTTCACCTACAGTTATTAAGAAGTTGTTACATTATATTTCGGTATTTAATACTGACAAGGCCTTCCTTATAAACTTTGTTGATCCTAATTTAAATAATCGGTTTCCGAAAACACAAAATCGATGAACAGTACTTTGGAAAGAATGAGACAATTATTTTTTTCTCAGACAGAAAGCTGCTCTTCGGTAATTGGTCTCTGAATGCTGGTTACTGCGCAATAAATGGTTACGCCCTGGACGAAATGAAAAAAAAAACCCTTTGGAGACGAAAGTAAGAGCAAAAATAGTAAAAAAGGAAAACGGAAGAAATTTAAAAATTGTTCATCCGGGATCGATTTCGAGCCCCTCCGCTTGAGAGGAAATGCGCTATCCTTTAGGCCAAGTTTGCAGAGCGTATCTACTAATGAGAATTTTCTTTCAGCGAGTAGTAGACCATATAGATAAAACGTGATTTCCTCAATCAAAAGTTTTAAAATACGAAGTCAGTTCAGTGGACTCGGCACTTTCATTTTCCGAGAGCCCTGCACCAACTCTGATCCTTATTTAATTAATAGTACACTATAAATAGTGCATACCCAATACCCAATACCTGTATACACTTATATTTCAATACACGAAATAGAGATTTCAATGGTGAATAAACATACCCAGTGTTGAATGTCACGCTGTCGCTCAGGCGCAGGGCGAGCAGTACTTCTGATCATATTTGCAATCTGTTGTTCCGATAAAAGCTTTCTTAGACAAGGAATAATGGTACAGACCTCCATTGGGAGATACCTGTCCTTTTTCTGTCCAACTTGTAAGCACGGTAGGTGAGGATACCTACAGGTAACAAAGCTTAATATTAAGACACCTTCAAGCGAATGTGAGTGGCAGGCTTCTTAATTTCTAATGACTACCAGATGAAATTATGTGTACATGTTGTACTATTATATCTCTCAGTTAGTAAGTCCGCTAAGATTAGAATCATTTCAATTTTCATCTGGATTATTTTTATCAATCACAATTTGCAAGCTGAACGTCACCAGTATCTATATGGCTTATCGTAAAGTCCGCCAAAGAAGCAAGGTGGCGGGAGGTTTGAGAGGGGTCTGGTACGGGAAATTGTGCGGGCTCTCATTTTTCGTTCCAGGCCACTCGAGAGGGCGACAAACTCTTGCAAAATTTGCGAGAACCCTGCAATATGCACGTCCAGAAGTGCTTATAATAGAAAGCCTACAAGTTCTATAAATCATCTGCAGCTCACACCTCAAAATTAACCGGTATCTATCTTTGAAATAATCTGCAACAGTTGTTTTGTAAGTGCGACCTGTTCCCTCATCTGTTACATCAAACTGTTTCCTGTTGGCAGATTTTTCCGACACGCCCCAAACTGTGTACTTCCACTTTAAAGAGCCAGCATGAGTGGTTTGTATACGAATTCCTGTAACACATCGAAAAAAAAAAACAAATGTTAGTGCTTAAGACTCTCCAAGTCTAAATTTTCATTATTATATGAAGGCTTTTTAAAAGAAAATTAAACATATATATGTGCTCATGACAATATTACCACTATTAAGCTTCTTTCAAAAAGTGTTAATTCTCTCAAAATGGATATCGCGTTAGGATCTAATAAACACAAGTCTACAAGATTCAAGGCCATTTAATATATAATTCCCATGAACCCTATTTTATTTTAATTTTTTAAGGTGAGATATCATGGAACTCAGAGGCCAACTTTTGTCCAAGTAAACACTGGGAAAGACGTTCAGTCATTTAAACTACAAATCAAAGGAGTGCACATAATTCATACTTGATAAAACACTAGAAATATTATGATGATGCTAAAAAATGTTTTCATACTCAAGTGAGCATCCACTATCGTCCAAGTATGCAGTCGATCGTAGTAAAGTTTAACCCTTTCCATAAGTGTTCATATACAGCTATTCAATTACGTTGTCGGATCAAAGCTTCAAGGGTACGGGAAAAGACCGAAAGGCGGTATGGGTAGATTAGAATTTATTTTAGGCTTTCGGGGTTGTCGGCGCGAGATGGACATGGAGGCTGAAAATACATCGGAGATCTTCGCTGTATGGACAAGGCATTGTTAATTTTGCTGATAATTATTCATTAAGATCCCATATTCCCCTTCGGTCTTGTCTTGTAGGCTTGAGGCTTTGATCCGACAACGTAAATTGAAATAGCTGTATATTTATAATTTAAGTTTAGTTTGCCAAAAAAAGGTATCAAAGTTAATTATAAACTCATATAATGCAATATGAAACAATGCAATATTACAAAATAATAAAAAAACAAATTTCAAATGTAATATAACAATTATAATAATCATAAGTATCTTACAATACCTTATTGGTATGCTGATTTGCTGGCTTGAAACTTGAAAGTGATTAGCAAGTACATGTAACATACAACATACTTCTCTAAGCAGCCAAAGAGACAGAATTATCAAGAGTTTACTTTCTCCAGCCACTTTTTGGCAAGTTACAGAAAATACCTGAGACATTTTGGTTTTTATATATATACTAATTTTAAAATAATTATTCACCTCAGTCTCTGACTGAAATTAGTGGATATCTACATTCCCACTTTGCAGCTTGGTATAAAACCACCACAATGAACAGACCACCATAATGAACAGACCTGTACACAAATATTTATAATAATAATGGTTAGAGAACAGAAAACAAAGCAACTCACCGCGTATGGCTTTCTCAAGTCTTCGTCTGTCAGGTTCAAATCTGTAGTCTTCAAGATTATGGGGTTTCACATCAAGTGCTTCACACAGGAAATCAGGAACAACAGCTTGCTCTTTGTAAAATCCTTTTGCAGAGACTGAAAGTACAGAAACTCACTGAGAATATTATGTAAACATTGGACAGTTCTTTCACCATTTTACCCCTAACAGTGACTAGCATCTAATATCTCTTTATAGTTTACCTACCCCTCCCCCTCCCCCTCCCCCAAATGGTCAGACATTAAGGTCACCATAATAAATGAAATGATCACCAGGCCAACTAAAAAAGCTCTTGATTGTTAACCAAATTCTCCTTGTCAGCACCTCAGGAAATGATTGTATAAAGAATAGTATGGAGAAGACACATACTGATGATAGGGTGTAAAGGGTTAATGGGTTCATGATCAGGAACACTGGGAAGCTCAATTTCAAAAGGAAACAGTGGCTCATTTCATGAATTACAGTATACTCTTGAAAATAAATTTTTTGAGACTTGAACATTACTGAGAAGGCAACATTTCATATATTCCTCAAATTTTTTTTCAAAGCAATGGTGAGAACAATAATTTATATGAAATTTTACCAATTGCAGCAACTCACCATCAATGTTTACCAGCATAGCCTTCCACTCAGAATGGCGAATACTTGAATAAAAACCAAATTTCACCTCACACCCCTCTCCCAGGGGTCTTCCTTGACCATCAAATGGAAAGAATGATCTTCCAACAGGGGTGTAATACATTGATGGCATCTGTCGCACCACAATGTCCAATGCCTGTACTGCATCCTGAGGTATTTTGCCATTTTGTTCTCCACTCAAAAAGTTGTTAAGTTCCAAAAGACTTACTGCTGCAGCAAACTGAATTTTAACCTTGTGGGTTAAATAGGAATAAGTATTAAAATATTTTGAAATTATTATCCATTTGGTATGACTACATGCTTCCTACAACTACAATTATGCATATTCAGTTGTGATTCTTCCAGCACAAATTTGACAAAAACTGTCTCAATTATAGCGGAGCTTGCATAGCATAGCCCCATAACTATACAAAATAGTAGTAACCCATAAAGCCAAAAAAATTTGGATGTATGACCATACGACTGTACAACCAACCATACAAGGTGCTACTTTTAGCATGCGTGGCCAACTGTACCATGGGCACTATCTTATGATCAATCCTCTACACAGACACAGAGAAGTTGCAAATGAAAATCCATTAATATTACCGTGCACTTTAACCATAGTAGGGGCTTTAGTTTTGTTGAAGAGATCTGCAGGTAGCATTCCATCTTGAGCAACAGTTAAAAAATGCAGACTATGTCAAGTTTATTTCTAAACTGATTGTTTATCATCCATTCAATGCAAAAGAGTAATTGCATTCAAAAAATGACTATCACCAAGGTATCATTATTACTATTATTATTTATTTTAAAATTGTTGTAATGCTAACCTTGAAAACCCTGTCTCTTCCTCCATCTTCACCTGGTAGTTTAAGACTAAGTTCAGCCTGTAAGTTACACAAAAAAAGGGAAACAACTCCTTAACTCCAACAGGAGATTCGTGGATTAGAGTGTTGAAAGAAGTCCAGGGTTGGCTAAAAGATATTTCATGACAAAGTGTAAAAAAAACAGTCTTACATTTTCTCATTTTTCCTTTCCATGGCCACCCTTGCTTGAAGTTAGATTTAATTGTTAGTAATTAAAAATTGCTCAATTAACAATTAAGTGTTGCTCACAAAGTGATGTCTTCTTACTTCTTTTATGCAATGTTTACACATGTGTTGCAGTCCAAGTTATAATTTTTTCAAGACAATCTAGTTTTATCAACTGAGTTGATAACATAAATTGGCCAGTGTAATGAGTTTTTAAAGCTAAAATTTTTAGCATTGGCCTCTAATCACCTGACATACATCAATGAGGGGTGACTATATCACATTAAAAAACACTGTTGATAGGAAACTCACAGGAACAGGTAGCCTTATCCTGCTGTACAAATTCTTTTCACCATCAAAAGCTGGATGATGGCCTTGAAATATTGTCTGTTTGTACGTCTTTATGATTTCATTAACAACATCTCTCTTAACACTTTTAGGACATCTTTCTGGAGTTATTTCAACATCGTAGTGGTACAGGTCTGAAAGCTGCGGTGAGACATTGAGGCGGAAGAAGTTTGCCCTTAATGCTATAGGGCGACCCTTTGTGCCATAGCCTGGTCTCAGAGGAGGATGCATTCCACTGTTTGCTTGAGTCTGACGAGGAGTGTGTTCTGAGAGAGAATTAACCCAATCAATACATCACAGTCAGCATTTGAGTACAAATAAATTTCATACTCATTTTTGTTTTTTTGATACTTGGACTAGAAATAAAAATCCTAATTCAAGGAATTAATAAAATATATTCGACTCTAGTTGTTCTGTAGCCATTTTGATTAATTTTAAAAATAAGAATGCTGTCTTCTTTCTGCCACTTCCCAATTCTCCAGCACATTGAGGAAGTCTCACTGTCAGAATGTTTACTTCACTTTAGAAATATTTTAATATATGTAAGTTCTTCTACACTGCTTGTTAACAAATGTTTTTACTGGAAATAGAAAACACTTAATCTATCATTTAATAACATATAGTGTAGCAAAAATAGTATAGTTTAATATTAAAACACTGTTAGAAATAATTTAAAGCACTGGAGCCACCCCCCTATTAATTTCCTTGCTTACTTTGTGTTGTCAGTAACCCTTTTATTTTTCTTCCCTTTTTTTTTCATAATGTGATTAAAAGTAAGTTCTTGGGATGTATTGTATGGTTGTTATTGTGCCACAATAAGAAAAAAAAAGAGTAAAAGGCTTTTACTGTACCTCCACTCCCCAGAAAAGAACCTAGCTTTTTAGTCATATCTTCAAGTTCTCTGTCCACTGCTGCAGTACTGCTTGTAACAGCAGCTGAAGATGGGGTGGTGCCACCAACAGTTTTTGTTGACGAAGCATCAGCTGCAGTTGCACCCAGAGACAAAGTGGAAGCTTTTGATTAAATACAAAATAAATTCAATCAACAGGTTGAAATAAACTTGATCCCCTCACCCATGACTGGTCTTTCCGGGAGCTTAGTAGACTTCCTCCTTAGGTTCGGCGGGCTAATTAACGACAGGTAAAAAGACAATTGACATACTTGATAAGTTACACCTTACCCAGGAAAAAAAGCTGCGTACTTGGGTAACCGCTGTATTTAATTAGGTCCCTATGGATAGCTCAATTTTGATCAATTAATGTGCTTCGAGGTAACGACCTTCTATTAACATTCTGTTCCATGTGAAGTAATCTACAATCTTCGACAAAAATGTTAGTGATACCTCCTCGATAGTGACTCTTTTTAAATGAGTGCCCCTTTATATTGTTGGCACAAATTGTTACATCCATCATCAAAACAACACTGTAAAGGAGGGCGGGGGAGTGGTCATTTTGAAGTCGTTGTCTCCTCTATAAGGGACAAAGGGTTTCCATATAATGTGACGAAGATTGCAGCTACTAGTATTATTTCTGGGATAATCAGACTATAGCGACGCTTGATCGCCGCTAGCTGGACCGTACGAATCTCACTGATCGACACAACAAATATCGCCCCAATTTCTTTCATGGAACGCCTCCTTTATTAAATGTCGTATTTGACCGTGAAGCTAAAAATAATTGATTCACAAAATTAGGGACAAGAAATTAGCTATAGAAACACTCGAGGTAAATTAAACTTACATTGTTGCCGGATCTGGCGAGAGTTGACACAAAAAGGACCTTTCCTTCCTTCGATAAAAACGACAGACAATTTCTTTCTATTAAACCACGAGTGCTTGCGAAATCGATCGAATTATTGAATTGCACAATAGATCCGTTCTGTTTGGAAATGCGATACCACTTACGGAACGCGTGACGAGGCACCTAGTGTGACTTCTACAGATTATTAATTAAACGATTACTAAATCAAAACAAGGAATAAACCCGTGCCTTAGGGGCACTTACATGGCTCCCCTTGAAATCACCGTATTTCAAACAAAACGAAACATAATTAAAGTAACAAGTTCAGAGTTCACTGACATGTCCGTGTCTAGTCCTCCTTTTGAATGTGTTCGTTGAATGGCTCCCCATGCGGGAATCCCAGTCTTTCCTCTCTTGGCAGCAGCAGGACAAGCTTTTGAATGGGTCTTTCCAAAACTGATGGGGGGTGCACTCTCTTTCCAGTGCTGGAGATATCAGGGTCTCCAATCGCTACCTTGACACTACGCACCAGTCCATCGGCCTTGTTGGGGTACGTTTCTATCACACGAGCAAGGCTCCACCGATTCCTCGCCTTGTTGTCATCTTTAACGATAACTACGTCGCCAACTTGCATGTTACGGCGTGGTCTCGTCCACTTGGACCTCTCTTGTAAGCTATGAAGAAATTCCTTCCTCCAACGGTCCCAGAATTCGCATGATAAATGCTGGACTCGTCGCCAACGTTTCCTTGAGTACAAGTCTTCTCTTTGAAACACGCCAGGCGGAGGTAGAACCGGCTTTGCTTTCATTGTGAGGATATGATTTGGCGTCAGTGGAGATAGTGACCCTGGATCGCTTAGATTATCCACTGTCAGGGGACGGCTGTTCACGATCGCTTCGGTTTCACAAATCAGCGTGTGAAAGGACTCTCCGTCCAGGCAACTTGCACTCTTCTCCAGGAGGGCTGATAGTACACTGCGAATGGTCCTGATTTGGCGCTCCCATACTCCTCCTGCATGGCTGGCTGATGGGAAATTCATCTTAAAGGTTATCCAATCACAATTCTCTTTCAACATCTCAGTGCTGATCTTGCCTTGATCCATAGACTGCAACGCTTCGCGGAGCATCTCGCTGACCCTCGCTGACACCACAGCTGCTGTGAGTTCCAGACGTGGTATGGTGACCATCTTTAAAGGAGCTACTCTTGCTTTGCCCATAATCAGGGAACAGTGGATCTGGCCTTTGTCGTCTACCAAACGAACGTATGAACACTGGCCATACCCAGTCGTGCTTGCGTCTGAGAAGTGATGAAACTGTGTTGATATCACCGTTCCGAAACCTTCTGGTTTAAAGCATCTTCGAACGGAGAGATCTTCTAAGTGGTGTAACTCATCCCTCCATTTCAGCCAACGTGATCTTATGTTCTCGGGGATAGGGTCGTCCCATTCCACTTTACCTCTGCACAGATCTTGCAGAAGGCCTTTTCCTGTCAAGATTAGAGGTGCCAGAAACCCCAACGGATCGTACACACTGCTAACAGTGGACAGAATTCCTCTTCGCGTTAAAGGGCGATCTTGCATCACGATCCGGAACTTGAAAGCGTCTGACTCAATACACCAACTCACACCAAGCGCTCTTTCCATAGGCAGTTCATCCTTCTCGAGATTCAGCTCCTTTATGCCTTTCGCACGATCTTCCACTGGTATGGACTCGATAACTTCTCTTTTGTTGCTTGTAAATTTATGCAGGTTAAATCCTCCGCGCCGACACATCTCTTTAGTCTTGCGTATGAGCTCCTTTGCTTGACTTGTAGAAGGTACAGATTTCAGACCGTCGTCAACGTAGAAATCTTTCCTCAGGAACTCGGCTGGTTCGAAGCCAAACTCTTGCTCATGGTCATCAGCGGTCTTCTTTAGCGCAAAGTTACAACAACCAGGAGACGAACCAGCTCCAAAGAGATGAACGGTCATCCGGTATAACGTGGGCTCCTTGTTTACATCGCCATCCTCCCACCACAAGAAGCGTAACAGATCTCTACAATGTTCAGTGACGTGGACCTGCAGAAACATTGCTTCTATATCTGCCATGAAGGCAACTGGCTCCCTTCTGAACCTCGATAGCACTCCAACAAGCTTGTTGGTAAGATCTGGGCCTTGGAGAAGATGCTTGTTAAGAGCCTCCCCTTTGTACTCCGCGGAGCAATCGAAGACTACGCGGATCTTGTCCGGCTTCTGAGGGTGGAAGACACCATGGTGAGGAAGGTACCATGTCTTTCCATCTTTCCTAACTTCGTCCTTTGGTATCTTCTCAGCATATCCCTTCTTAATCATGTCATTCATGAATGCCGTGTAGTCTTCTTTGTATTTCTCATCTCTTCGAAATCTCAGTTTCAACTGCTGGAGGCGATGGACTGCAAGCTTCTCGTTATTCGGCAGGGCTAACGATTCATTTCGTAGTGGCAATGGCAGTTCATAGTGTCCATCTGAACGATGGGTAATTCCTTCTTTAACCTTTGCCATGAATCTTCGATCATCCATGGAAAGGGTTTGTTGAGCCGCGTGCTTCCCTTCATTGAAATCTCGCTCGAACATTCTCTTAACTGCTTCTGGAGAGATGATCTCTTTTACGTGTGTCTCAACAACAAAACTATGGGAAGGTAATTCTTCGCTACCGATCTCCTTCACTGCAACTCTGTGACATAAGACATCCGAATCTTCTGTGGTTGTACTTCCTGTCACTGGACCAATGATGCCCCAACCAAGGAGGGTACGGATGGCATAAGGATCGCTGCTTCTACCAGGAATGACCTGCTTCGGCTTTATGGCGTTTGGACAGTTTGAGCCGATCAAAAGTCCCACTTGCAGATCGTTTTGGTACGGGTAAATCTTGTTGGCTAAATGACTTAGGTGTGGCCATTTTGCTGCCGACTCTGGCCTTGGGATCTCGTTTCTTCTCGATGGTATTTCGTTCCTTGAGTACGTCTTGGGAAGCTTGATGTAGACCGCTCTATCCATTCTTTCCACGATAAGACCGCTCACTCTACGAGTAGGAACTACTTCTGAACCATGCATTGTGTTTAGCTTCAATTGAGTCTCGACTCCATTAACTTGCAGTTCTTCGAGTATGCTTTCCTTAACGAAAGTTCCGTTACTAGCTGGGTCGAGCAGCGCATAAATTACAACTTGTCTTTCGAGGTTGTCTTGGTGGTACATTCGAACCGGAACAATCATAGAGTTTGTGATGGCATCGGTGACTCCAGTAGCATTACAGGTACTTGTACAGCTGCTAGTTGCTTCAGCTGCCTGAACTACTCTTGCTTGGTCTTCACTACCTTGCTTGGGAGAAATTTTGCTTTCATCATGAAGGATGGTCGGGTGGGGCATACTACATGTCTTACACACCTTCCGGTTTCGACATCTTCTTGACATGTGGCCGTAGCAGAGACAACCGAAACATATTCTAGCTTCTTGGATAAATGCTCTTCTTTCTTTAACAGTCTTCTTCTTGAAACTTGAGCACTTCTCCAGATCGTGATGCTGACTGTTGCAGAATGGACATGAAGAACCTGGTGGCGGTTGATCATCGTGAGGTGTGGCACTTGTCAAGAAGCTACTTGTACTCTTGCCTTTTCTTCCATTGTTTCGCCAGGTTGTGTTCCTGTTGGTGTTGTTGTCACTGCTGCTACTGCTAGTGAACTCATCTTTCCTTGCTTCCTTGAGGGCTTCAGGTGAGAATACTGGGTCGGTTGCCAAGGCTGCTTCTTCTGTTACAAATTTGACAACGTCATGAAACGTAGAAAGTCTTTCTTCTGATTTTAACATCTTATTGGCAAAACGGCACCATTTCACTCCCATATTACTTGGCAGCTTTGCAGTTATCCTTCTAAGAGTGTCCTCGGAGTTAAGGCCTTCCATGTACTTTAACGTATTCATGGCTTGTTCGCAAAGCACCAGGAAATCAGCAAACTGTTGCAAACGCGCGCCGTCCCCTTCTTTCATAGGAGGCCAAGCGTTCAGCTTATCCTTGTAGGCCTGTGCAACGCGATAAGGATGGCCGAATCTTTCCTTTAATACCTTTCTAGCCTTATCATAGGAATCTGGAGAGTCGAGGTTAATGAAGCCTTGAATTGATTCCTTAGCGTCCCCAGATGTGAACTGGTTTAAATAATAGAGCCTCTGCTTTGGATCGCTCACTCGGCACTCTATTAAACTTTCGAAGGCACTGATGAATGCTGCGTAATCGAAGTGGTTTCCAGAGAAAACCGGGGGCTGCTGTGCTGGGAGCAGACTCATTCTTTGTTGTTCAGCGACAAGCTTCACCACCGAGGTTAACTCGTCTGTTCTGTCGGAAATCTCCGGCTTTGATTCACGTGATGGTGATTCACCAGCTTGCGTGCCTTGGCGTACAACTGGGCCATTTGGGGGTTCAAAGGGCGGAGCCTTTGGGTTTAAGATCCCGTTATCTTGCAAAGGTTTTGTTTCACTAGGTTCCTCTTTGGGCGATAGCTTGGGTTTGACGTCTAGAATTGGTGTTTCATGCCTCGGGATCTGGGGGAAATCCTCCTGCCTTTCTTCTTCTTCGATTTTGCGCATGGTTTCTTCCTCAGCCTTTGCCTTAGCTAACTCCTTTTGCATTACTAGCTTCTTATACTCTGCTTCCCTTTCTAGAAAGTCCATTTCTACTTGAAGACACGCTGCCTTGGCCGCTGCCTTTGCTCTTCTAGATCTTACTGAAGAGGAGGAAGAACGCTTGGATAATTTTGACGAAACCAGAGACATTTTATCGCTTGTTTGTCTTTCCACACTAAGCAAGGCTTCGTTAATTCTAATACGACATTGGAAATGTTCGCGATCCCGAATATCAAACCACTCGTACGCTTCATCTGCTTCCTTAGTGTCATGCAATTCCTTGTAATAATTGTGATGAGCGTCATTCATCCTATCCCTACACAAGTCTAGACTGTCACGCTCTTGCTCTAGGACTCTTGCGTTTAATTCTTTTATCGATTCTAGTAAAGAGTTTACCTTCGTTATCTGCCTCCTCAGAGCGACTCCTGCGGCCTTTCGCTCCTCAACAAGCCTTTCCAGGCGAAGTGACTCGCCCTTTTCGGTAGGGATTCTTTCTCTTCTGTCCCTTTCAGTCGTTTCAACGCCGACTTGATGGTCTTCGTTCTGTTCGCTCGTGACTTCTTCCATCGTAGGATTTGCCTGCGCCATGGCTATTGTATGCAGTCGACAAACTCCCGCTAATATCTTGAATTCCTCCAATCTTCACTATAGCGACGCTTGATCGCCGCTAGCTGGACCGTACGAATCTCACTGATCGACACAACAAATATCGCCCCAATTTCTTTCATGGAACGCCTCCTTTATTAAATGTCGTATTTGACCGTGAAGCTAAAAATAATTGATTCACAAAATTAGGGACAAGAAATTAGCTATAGAAACACTCGAGGTAAATTAAACTTACATTGTTGCCGGATCTGGCGAGAGTTGACACAAAAAAGACCTTTCCTTCCTTCGATAAAAACGACAGACAATTTCTTTCTATTAAACCACGAGTGCTTGCGAAATCGATCGAATTATTGAATTGCACAATAGATCCGTTCTGTTTGGAAATGCGATACCACTTACGGAACGCGTGACGAGGCACCTAGTGTGACTTTTACAGATTATTAATTAAACGATTACTAAATCAAAACAAGGGATAAACCCGTGCCTTAGGGGCACTTACATGAACTAATTGTCTTCTATAGTTGTCTTCAATTGAATATGCTTTTTTTTTTCTTTGAGAAAATAAAAATCGTTTTTTTCCTTTAAGTGTTATTTTTAATTTTCCGGCAGAGCCTAGTTGTTCAGAGGCCGATTAACACTAACCCAGGGTTAAATTTTGATTCAGCTTCTTTATTTCTTTATTCAGGAGTCTTTTTTGGGATAATTTTCCCTATTCCTTTTAGACCATCTAATCATCAAATTGTAGACAAAAAAAAAAGAAAATGGATTTCTTTTTAAATTTTCATATTTGAAATCAAATTTCACACTAACCCTGGGTTAAGTTAAGCCACCTTTGAACGACCTGGCCCAGAGTATTTAAAAAATGCTCCAGAAAATTAATGAAATAAATGAATATTTTTGTGCACAGTGGTTAGGATCTTTTGGAAAAATTGATTTAATATATTTTGAAATAAAGTTTTGATCCACCTTTAAAATGATGAAATTTGTTTCTGAGGTTCCATCAGTTGTTCAGAGAGAGAGGGTCATATGAATGATGTCTTTTAAGTCTCCTTGACAAATTTACAACAGAGAGCTGTGTGTGTTTGTTTGCTTAATTATTCTTTCTTGTAAGGGACTAACCAAAAAAGTCTGGTGTATAATTACACAGTCACTTGCAATGGAACAAGAGCAAAAAGTTAGTGAATTAAATTAGTTTTGCTGACATTAATGCCAGCTGAGGCCATGTCACTGAGTGAGTAGATCTCCTTGCTATTCGAACTGAACACTTTGATTAAAAAGCTGAGATTGTCCCCCTCCTTCTTTATGCCTACATCTAATACTCAGAGAGGAAGATGCAAGTCTTGCACTCAAATTAGTATTTTATGTGAACATGTAGTAAGCATGGCTAAATTAGCATATGTCACACCATGGGTTTCAAACTACTCCCTAATTTTTTAGCATAATTTCAGTGCTAATATGTTTATTTCACATGTGAAATGGCAAACTTGCAATGACTGCATCTTTAATTGTTCTCAGATGGTGTCCAGATTTTGAAATGTTCAAAAAAAATGTGGGGGTTTCAAAGAGATTTCCACAGACAATCAAAGTTTGCCATCAGTAATTTTAATTTACACAATTGACAATTTACTTTTCAAATCTCATTTATACAACTGTAATTACAAATGGAACACTGCTTGACCCTCTTAGAGGAGTGTCCTTCAAAAGATCTTGACTTTTCCATTATTTATGAAACTATTTGCACTGTATACAATAAACCTTAAAGGGAGAAAGTATTCATATAAACGACTTTTTTGAGCTAGAGATGCAAACTCTTTGATGGATTATTTGCCTGTGAGAGATGCTTATGTTGAACACTCATGTTCAAGTGATGCATGTGACAATGAATATTTATATTAAGAATCTTTTAATTGCATCTCTTATTGCAACAGCATTTGTGTTCTGCCTTGGGTTTGGATCACCTGGACAAACTCCAGCATGAATGTGAATATCATTGAGCCATTGGTCATCAAAAGACTCGTTTCGCATCTCACAATAATTATGTAAAACACAACACGCTGCGATGACATTGCAGGCATTTTCAACTTTTAAGTCCAGTCTCTTCCCAATGCTTCTGAACCTTCCCTTCAATCGACCAAAGGCATTTTCAACAACTACTCTAGTCGTGCTGTGTTTTATGTTGAAACTGCGTTCCTCCGGGGTCAGATTTCCACGATCAATATATGGTTTCATCAGCCAATTGCTGAGAGCATAAGCTGAGTCACCTAATATCAGGGGAGGAACTTGTACACCAGATATCATCACCGACATATCGAGCGGAAGAAAAGCTCTGGCACAACACAAGACAAACAATGGAGAGTTCTTGAAGACACGTGCGTCGTGTACTTTACCCGGCCATCCAACACATATATCAAGAAATAGATAATTACAATCTACTAGCCCCTGAAGGATTAATGAGTGGAATCCCTTCCTGTTAACATAATCATCTGGACTTTGCCGAGGTCCAATGACTGGGACATGGCAACCATCGACTGCTGCAACCACCTGGGGAAAGCCCGCGCGACTTTTAAAACCTTCAATTTTTTCTTGGACTTCATGTTGATTTTGGGGAACGTTTATATAATTGGGAAGAAGAACGTTCACTATCACCTCGCATACCTGTCGCACAATACCACAAACAGTGGATTTTCCGACACCAAATAGATTTCCGATCGTTCGAAAGTGAGCCGTGTCCGCGAGCCAACATAATGTTATGGCAACTCGATGGCGCACTGTAATGGCTTTCCTGTAATTGGTGTCCCTTTTAGAGATATGTGGCGAAAGTTCTCGGCAAAGGCGATTAAATGCTTCTTTAGACATGCGGAAATTCTCATTCCAGTCCTTTTCTTCCCAATCTTGGCAAGTCTCTTCCCAAAATATCTGCGACCGGGGTTTTAGCCAAATACGGCGAACCGGAAGATGTCGGAGAAGAAATCGAAGCAAAAAACGGAAAAACAATGATGAAACGAGACGTCTCCGACGGACATAACGATTAAACCGTCTCTCTGCGTTTCTCTGTCGGTTTTGTGTAATTCTGAGGTTTTCCCTCAGCCGTGACTGCGCCAACAACGGCAGGATATTGTGATTTAAACTGACCGCCATTTTGATTGCGTCTTTAATTTTGTTGGCAACAATTAATATCAAAACGAGGCTGCGCAATACCTAACCCAGTCTGCAGTGTGAACGGTTCTTGAGCAACACATGTTTTATAAAACCATGTTTAAAAAAACTACGTTTAATGAAACTTGTTTAGATTGGTGTGAACAGGGCATAAGTACTGCTCTTTGGTTGGTTCTGATAATCGGCATCTTTTTGTATGGTAAATAGAATAAGAGAGATGGTAAGTTTGATCTCAGTAAAGAAATAGAGAAAGATGTTTTTCGTCTCGTCACAAGCGTAGGACAAAGAAAAACTTCTGAGTTCCCATGAGGAATCGAACCTCAAACCTTCGGATTCCGCGCTCTGATGCTGCACCACTGAGCCACAAAGGCTCTACGGTGAGCGTGGTCTATTACACGCGTCCGTCCCGTCCTTTTTTTTCTTTATTCCACGCTCGTGCCAAGACGAAAAACATCTTTCTCTATCTTTATGTATTGTTACTTAGAAATTTCAGATGGCAGACTTTATAAATATGCATTTTCTTTTGTCTCGTCATTCCTATCAGCCTTCTGTCAAATAACAAGTTGAAGAGTCTACCAGACGGATTTTTTAAGAATCTTTCCAATCTGACTCATCTGTAAGGGAAATAGTTATTTAACCTAGGAGATAATTGTGAAGAACTAAAATTAACGATCATAATCATCATGACGTTTTCCAGCTTGTATTTGTAAATCTGATTAGTTGAAGTAGAGGATGCTATTTTATGTAGTTGTTGTGCTTTGGTTAGTAAAGTTAAGGTATTTGAAGGTGTAAAAGTTTAAAAGCTTTTGTTTAAATAGGAACCTTAACAACTCCCAGATTTGTTTTTCGCAGGATAAAGCACTTGCTTTCAAAATATGATAAACTATTGACGAACGGCTGATGATGATAATAATAGCAATGATGATAATAGTAATAATGATGATGCTAATGATAATTATAATAAAAACAATAATTATAGTTGCAATGGAAAAATTGTTTTGCATTTGGATTTCATCTTACTGCTGCAGGTAGGGTTGCAATTTGTTTTGTTTTTTTTTGTACCAGTTTTTTTTCTTTTTTTTTTTGGCTTCTTTGTTTTCTGTTTTTTGTTTTATTGCAGTTTTAGTTTTTCTCCCCAAAAAAGCCGGGGATGGATATTTCCTTGATGGACATGTTTTTCGATTTGGTATAAAAGGAGCATGTTTCATTTCATGTTTTCCCGAAAAAAAGTAAACATATTTTTTTATCCTTGTGTTCTTAGCAAGCATAATGTGCTAGGATCTTCTTGAGCTGGAATTTAAAACATTAACCTTTTTTCCTGGGAATATGTATAAATATATAAACTGGAAAGGGAAAGCAACCGCACAGTAAAGTACCCGACATTTTCTGAGAGTTTGGTAGTTCTATCATGGGTAAAATCTTTGTAGCTGTGGTAACGATTATTTTCAGGGATTTATCAAACAATGAACTTGGAAATCTGCCGCCGTACATTTTCAGGAACATTACAGCGGTAGAATTTCTGTAAGTAAGATTTATATCGGCACAAAAGATTATAAGTTAATCTTAAAGGATTTTCTTGCATATAACAGACTTGGTGACTAAAATAGCGTCCTAGTTAATGACAAATTATAATTTACTTCTGGAGGCAAACGTTTTTTTGTTTCCTTGTTATCCGAGTTGTCAATATCTAAGCATTTGTCGTATTGCAAGATCAAACTACCCCAGCACTAATGTTGTAATTTGTAATAGGAAGTGAACCAATAATGATTTTTTTCAAATTCAGCTTTAAACAACAGTCCTCGTTTGAGGCCCATGGGAATAAACTTGAGAGTTTTTGTGCTTAATCTTGAGATTATTAGAGATGTGTCTAGTGTATTCTTTGAAGATTAAGATATAAAAATTGGGAGTTATTTTACTGGAAAACATCGCCATTCCCTGCCTTAACTACAGAAGTTACCTTTAAAAAGCAGATTTAAAAATATCACTCCCACATGAGCTTATTTCAGTCTGAGCTGCCCATGATGCTCTCTTCAGGAAAATGGACTACAACAAAATTGAGAAGCTTCATGAAGATCAGTTCCAGGGCTTGGTGGAGCTGTTCGATTTGTGAGTACATTTGGAGCTGAAAACTTTTTCCATGATGATCTGAATCGCACACCGTATACAGTAATATTATTTTAATGTTAACTCCATATCGCTCAAAAAAAAGTTGCCTTACCCAATCATATTATGTTACTAACTGTATTTTAATATTTATTTCATTATCCATTTCACCTGTTCAAGATATCTCTCAGAGAACAAAATCGAGGCTCTGCCTGACAAAATTTTCAAGGGCCTCAAAAACCTCAAAGCTCTGTGAGTACAGTTAATAACATACAAAAAAATTATACAATATTTGAGGTGATGGAATGAACATGATCCAAGCGTTCAAAATCTGACATTTTGGTCCAAAAATTTAACATGATGTAGGACAGACATGATGCAAGTTACCTTGCTCAACGAAACAATGTTGTTCGAGTTCATGTTGCACTAAAAATGTGCCCTTTCACATAACCAAAGGTGGATATTATAGAAACAAAAAGAAGCATTTTGGAGATCTGTTTAGTTTAAACGAAAAGCCCATGTAAATCTATAGGATAAGAAATATGACAACTGCAAGTCCCCGTTTAGGACGTAATTGTAAATGGTTACGTTCTTCGTTTCAGCAATATCTTCGGCAATAGGATACAAAACGTTACCAGCACGACTTTTAACTATGCCCACGAATTGCGATTTTTGTAAGTTCACTGCAAATGAAAGATGTTCATATATTGAAATCGGTTAGCTTGTGGGCAAGTATTCTTTTGATTTTGTTGTAGTCAAAGAAAAGACTCGTGAATTGTAATTTTTGAAAATAACTTTGATATACCAAAGCAATATTTCCCTGGATGAGTCCGGAAAGAAAATTTTATACACCGAACAAACTCAACCGAATGGGCTGCCACGTTCATAAAATCAGTAGCCATCAAAAGTTTCCAAGAAAGCAAGATGAGACTTATCTCAGGCTAAATGATCAGACTTGAAACATCTTTGAGAAAATATCATGCCAGGGTCCGTATTAAAGATCCTCAGCTAGGGTTCTTGATTTTTCCTTTTTGGACAGCTAACATTTACATTAGCTTGATGAATCAAATTCTTGAAAATTCATTTGTTGGGGTGAATCAGATTCATTTTGTTTGGTTAATTATGATATAAACCAACTTAATGTTCACATCATGATTATTTGAAATTACAGGTTCATGCATTACAACCTGATGGCTGAGCTCCCCAAAGGCTTTTTCAAGCATTTGACGCACATCATCAGAGTGTAAGACCCCATAACGATCCTTTCCTTTACTCACCCCTTCAAAAAATCATTTTAACAATAGTCTATGTTATTAATTAATTAATGATTATTAATGGCTTTCAAAGATGCCATAATGAAATGATATTTCTTCTTTTTCTTCTTCTTTTTTCGAATTTTAGAACCTTGGACACCAACTTGATGTGTTGCCATCTCGATCTTTTCAGGCAGGATGCTGATTGCGAATATGTATTCAATGATAACTTCGCAAGCTGCCACTCCATGTTCCGCCACCATGCTCCAAGGAGAACTCTTTGGATTGTCGGTCTGCTCTCGTTGTTAGGGTCTTTATTCGTAGTTGGGTGGCAGTATTTCTACCCTGATAACAATGTGGTCCAGTCTATCATGTTGGTGAATCTGGGTGTATCTGACGGCATCATGGGGATATACCTTATCATTATAGGTATAAAAGACCTGCAATGGTCAGGGGAATACTACCTGCATGACTATGAGTGGCGCACCGGTTGGTTTTGCCATTTCAATGGTGCCATGTCTGTCTTTTCAAGTGAAGTGTCAGTGATGATGATTTCTCTGATCGCATTGGACAGACTCAAGAACATCGTGTTTCCTTACACCTTTGCAAAAATTACCCCAAGGCAGACCCGTATAATGTGCGTAGTTATCTGGCTGGTGGGAGGCGTTATGGCATTCCTTCCCTTGTCCGGAATGCACTATTTCAGTGAGAGGTATTACGGCAATAATGTAGTGTGCCTGCCCCTGCAGCTTTCCCCTGAATTACAAGAAGGCTGGGAATACTCCACTTCCATCTTTATCGTTTTGAATTTTTCCCTATTCATCTTCATCATGGTTGCTTATGTTGCCATCTTGTGGAAATCATGGTCGTCAAGCAGACGGCTTGGTGCACATGGAACTGTTCGTGAAATACGAGCAAGAGCACAAAGTGCACAAGCTAAAAGAGAAAGAGCACTTGCCAAAAGAGTCTTCTTCATTATTCTGACCGATTTCTTGTGTTGGATGCCAATCATTGCTATCGGCATCCGTTCCCACGTCGAGAAAACATTTGATCCACCTGGTGATCTGGCAGTGTGGATTGCAGTGTTCGCTCTGCCGATCAATTCAGCTATCAACCCATTGCTGTATACACTTTCTACCCCACAGGTAACATGTGTTTTTTTGTTGTTACTTTGGAATAGCACCTACCGTTATGTTCAAATTTGGTTTCGTGTCAGAGCAGGCTGGCAACTCAATTTTGTAATTGTAACGATTGACATACAAAACAAGCATGAAAAAGTAAATGATCGGACAGATTTTTTTAGCTTCTCCGCCGTTGACTTTAGCCATAGAGACCAACGTGACTTCTAAATACGTTACTTGAAAGTCTTAACGTAAACTATTCAATATATTTTGAATGTCTAGGTTCAGCCTGTGTTGAAAGCAAAACTGAGGAAGTTGTGGTCCAATGTTCGATCTATTTTCAGCAGAGGACAAAATCAAGAAGGTACAGTTTTAAGTTCCATTGAAAAATACCACGATAACAATAATTATATTTCAAACCTTGAAATGAAGAAACTTTAACTTTTATCAAATTGAGTATGAGCAACCCAGTTTTCTTTAAGTAACTTATGTGATTTTTACTCCAAGGCTTTCGAGGGGGAATAGGATAGAACTGGCATGAAATCGTAGAAAACACATGTATTTTTTTTTTTCGAAAAAGAAACTGAGCAAATTATTGAAACCAAAGAGGTACAACTGACAATATGTAAAGTTATAATACGTGGCAGACGTAGAAGAGAAAGCAAGAGTGATTCTAAATAGAGAGAGGATCAATTTATTAAATCATCAATTTTAATGGTTGAAATCATGCTTTCAGTTCGATTTTTGAGGGTTAGTCTCTCTAAAACTATGTATTAGGGAACATTGAGACAAATGGATGCCATTTGCGACAAATTTTTAAAATAACGTGCTAGTCAAAACTCATTCTGCGAACAATTCTCAAAGTATGAATTGCTATACTTCTGTCCTAAATCATAAGGTTAAGATTCTGAATTGTAGAATGCTTTTTTTTATATAAACCTGACAATGGCCATTAAGTTTTAAATTGGTGTTACTTTTTCATATGAAAGAAGCAGATAATGATCAGCAGGGACAGATTGGAAATGGAGATGAACATGCTAACGTCGAAGAGGGTAAAAATAGAGTGCTTCTTAGTGTAGTCACATACGAAATATCTCCTCCACGCCTTTGTAGGGTTCTCTGTATGATACTTTTCTTTCCTTTCTCTTTTCTATACTTAATTCCTTTTTTCATTTTCTTTCCCGTAGGAGAGCAAATTGAAATGCAGGTATTGGAACACAACGAAATCCCAGAAGTGGAAGCCCCTGAATTGCCTGCACCGCAACCAGGTCAGTTAAGAAATATAAGAGTTTTGATGCTAACGATAAAGCTGTAATTGACTTTGCAATCCAAAACTCTTGGCAGGTATGTATAGTTTAATCAATTAACCTAACAAATATTAGTTCTCTCAAATTGAAATACCTATAGAAACCATAGCATTCCTTTTCTGCTCTGATAATTTCTGTAGGTGCATTTTAAGAAAGGATAGATACTTAATTCCTGTTTTTCATTTTCTTTCCCGTAGGAGAGCAAATTGAAATGCAGGTATTGGAACACAACGAAGTCCCAGAAGTGGAAGCCCCTGAATTGCCTGCACCGCAACCAGGTCAGTTAAGAAATATAAGAGTTTTGATGCTAACGATAAAGCTGTAATTGACTTTGCAATCCAAAACTCTTGGCAGGTATGTATAGTTTAATCAATTAACCTAGCAAATATTAGTTCTCTCAAATTGAAATACCTATAGAAACCATAGCATTCCTTTTCTGCTCTGATAATTTCTGTAGGTGCATTTTAAGAAAGGATAGATACTTAATTCCTTTTTTTCATTTTCTTTCCCGTAGGAGAGCAAATTGAAATGCAGGTATTGGAATACAACGAAACCCCAGAAGTGGAAGCCCCTGAATTGCCTGCACCGCAACCAGGTCAGTTAATAAATATAAGAGTTTTGATGCTAACGATAAAGCTGTAATTGACTTTGCAATCCAACTCTCTTGGCAGGTATGTATAGTTTAATCAATTAACCTAGCAAATATTAGTCCTCTCAAATTGAAATACCTATAGAAACCATAGCATTCCTTTTCTGATCTGATAATTTCTGTAGGTGCATTTTGAGAAAGGATAGATTAAGGAATGGTTTCCCATATGACAATAATGTGACGAAATTAGGTTATATTACTTTTGGTTGATAAGTTACCTCCAGACATTCTGGTGATAAATTGCCATATGCACTTTTTAAGACCTCCACTCATGAGATCCCCATTCCTTTACATTGGTAACCTGTACAGTGTATTATGGACGGAAGATACCATCGTCTCCCATATGACACGGTTGTAGTTAATAAATGATACATATATATTGACAATGATCTTTCATTGTTTCCAGTTTTCACTTATATTGTATGAAGAATAACTTAATGATAATTCTTTGCTCTGTTGACAGCAATTGAACAAGCCTGTGGAGGGGATGCGAATCCATCTTCCTCAGGTAAAAATTTATTTATGAAAGAAATATAAAAAGAAGGCGTAGACAACCGCTTGATTTAAGAGAAGTACTAGTACTGCAAAAGTCACAGTTGCCCAATGTGACTTCAACTGCAAATTGCTTTTTACAAACGGTCATAGGAATCGCCAAAATGAAAAAAGGTAATGCGTCTTAACAACTGTATTTGGCAGAGGTATTATTTCAGCAACTATTTTCATGCGCCCAAATTAACTTGCAGATTTAAATGTGAGCTTTGTAACTCAGTGTTATTTCATAAATCAATAAATAATTGAATACATCTGAAATTCTGACGTACCTAAAATAAAATTTGTAGAGATATTTATTGCAGAATAAAACATGAACCATAAGTATCATGAAACATTTTACTCTACTTGTTCCTTAAAACAGATTATCAGGAGGATTTTGACATCAGACCAGCCACTACAAAGACTGTGGAAGGTAAACACCTTTTCAATTTTCATTTCATTTTTTTTCGGAAATTTCGTAACTCTAAAAAAAAACAGCGAATGGTGGCTGGTGCTATCAAGCTGGCGCACTTGGTATACTTGATTGCATGGTTTTGTATGTCACACCAATAAGACTGGGGTTATCATGTTAACGCTTAATCACCAATCAAATCACGATTCTAAGTCTGTCACATGAAAAAATTTACGAGAGCAGCTTGTCGGTCTCTATTTCCGGTAAGGTACAAAACCCTTTCTCAGTTACTAAACCTAATGGGTAGATGAATTTAAAAAAGTCTTATTGGAAAGTTTGTTGTCGTCAAAGACTTAAGACTTAGTTGCGTTGTAAATGTAACTAACGTAACTTTTAATAATAAATCTGATTTCACACAGCTGGTAAATCTGAGGAGCAGGTGGAGGTTGAAGAGATTTCGGTGCCCAGTAACAAAGGTAAAGGAGATAATGGGTTTTGATTGGTCACTAACCATTAATGATTTTAACTTCTAAGTACAAACACAAAATTTAATGACTGTATACTAACTTTTTTCGTATCAAATAAATCATTTTTTAAAGGAGCTAAAAAAGCTGAAGAAGAAGAGAAGGCGCCTGAGCCTGACATGGTTGTCGCAGAGGAAGGTAACATTTTTTATAAATCAGAAGAGATAAATTCAAATTGGTCCACACATGCTTTATAAGGTGATGCATAATCAGTCCACTCAATTGGCTGAAGATCACTTGAAGTGCTTAGTGGAAAGGTCGTAATTCATATCGGGAGGTGACTTCATTGAGAAAAAACAAAAAAACGACACCACTTGGGCATTATTATACCTCCTCGTAACGAAGAGCCATTACTTTTTATACAATGCTAAAATCAAACATTTATGAATTTATGAAGCCGTTTTACTAGTTTGTTTGTTTGGGTTTTTTATGGATACAGAAATAATTTTCCCAGATACAGAAAACATAGCCGCCTCTTACCCCAGCTCATTGAAAGGACATGGTTACTTTGATGTTGTGTACCTCAGTTTTCAAAACACCTCAACACAGACATGCAAAAATTTAATGAGCTTTGATAAGTGGCAGCCCTCTTTTCTGTGTTTGTGAAAATTATTATTCTATCGCTTAAAAGAAAATGAGCGCATTGTATTTCAATCTCTTTTCGTATTCCATCCAGGGGAAGAAGAGGTGTTTGATACCAGACTTTAGTTCTTTGTTTTCGAACCAAGGTAAATGCTTATTACGTCTGCTTTAATACTGAATACCGCTGACTAAAGGGTTGTGGAAAACAAATCCCTCTAAAGAAAATGTTTTTTTTTTGTTACATGCATCTTTCTAATCTTATAGAATACGTGTAATATTTGAGATGTAGGGTGAACTCTATGCTAAATTTTTAAAATCCTTGGCTTATTCAAACCAATTTCAAATTTGAGATTTCAACGCAACTGTAATGATTGAAGTTATTGGAGATGAAGAAGGAAGTCTGTTTTTTTTATTGCTATAATATGCTGTTTGTCTTTTTTCAAAGTCACTTGCGAATTTTTTTCAGCTATCCCCTTCATTGTTGGCAGTAAGGGTACCAAAACATTTTCAAATTGATCAATTTTTTTCTCTGCTTTTGTTGATGTATGATTTGAAAAATTATAATAAAAAAAAACTTCTGGGTGGCGAGTACGCCGCACTGATGAGTGCTCTCTCTGTATATGCTTGTATATTCATATCTGCCTTCTGTCCTTAAAGCACTGACCAGCTTACTCACTGACAGTCTGGTCACTTGACTTTCTGACTAACTGGCCGGTAAGCCGTCAAATTGAATTGACTACCTGAGCTATGACTACTGGCTGACTGACAGATGGGCTGATTATCTGCCTGACTGTTTTCCGGACTCTCCACCTGGCCAGTGGGCATGGTTATTACTAACTGGATTATATTATGGCTGCAATACACTTCAATGTTGACATGTAAAAAATTAAATGCTTGACTGACTGATTGTCGGGTCAGTAGATCAAACAAACAACTAATCGATAATTAACTTTTGCATTCATTGATTAGCATGCTTTTTTCTTTTGCGTCTGACAGTCTACAAGAGCCAAAAACATTGCCATTAGTATGGAGACCGCGAGTGCTAGAGAAAAACTAGAAAAAGTTCAAAGAAAAGGGAAAAAATAATTCTAGTAATCAATACGTATGGTCGTATGGTAACATCTTAGTAAAAAAAAATCTGCTTTTTAATCCCTTTTTTTTAGATTTAATTTTAACAATAATTAGTAATTAAGTATAGTTATGGTAATTATGGTATATTATGGTAATTAAGTATAGTTGGAGTGGAACATATTGTGCTATATCTGAGTAGGCGTGTAGTGGTAGTTCATCTTTCTTTTGTTTTTTTTTCCCGTTTTTGGTTTGTTTGTTTGTTTGTTTGTTTTTGTAACATGTACATCTACCTGACACTTTAAGTCTGTTAGTTTTAGCGTATTTCTAAAGACCATGATTGCTACACCGCAGTTAAGTCGGATGGCTCAAAACGGAGCACAACAATATCAGGGGTGTAGCCAGCCTAGAGTCCTGTACCATTAAATTTTATCATATCACTCTTGCAAATTTTGAAACAAAAATTGAACTTTCTCAGGGTATAAGCCCACGACAAGTCGAAAAGCTGGCTATAGTCCTGATGTGATAAGATATTCTATTCTGCATGCTGATCTTTCCATCATTAAATAAAATATAGCTGAGTAACTGTTTTGATTAGGAATGCCTCACTGGTTTTAAAAGTAATGTTTAAGCTCATTTCCATGGAAAATGTTAAGTTTATTCGGAGTTTACTCATAGTTTAGAGGGGATTTGATGTCCCAGAAGAACTTTCTTTTAGAGTTCCTAATATAGAAAAGAGCATAGAAGGTTAATAATGTGATAATAATAGAACACTAACGAGCTTTAATAAGAATTATCAGAGATTAATATGTACAACAACTATTTAGATAATTCATTTCTAGGTTTTGTTTAAACACGAAAAATCATCTAAAATTTGACAAGAAAAACTTAGACAAATGCACGGGTTGAGGACGTCCACTTACTAGATATTTGATGGTACGCTGGTAATCTAAATAGTTCATTTCTTAACATTTTAGAACTCATCCGCGAGCATTAAAGTCATAAGGAGTTAAAGTGACGTTAATTTTGGGTTGTATATTAAATTAAAGAACTTAGACTTGCGGTTAAGATTTCCGCAGCTAGTAGACATTAGGCGGTACAGTAACAATCTGAATAGTTCGAACATTACTACAACTCGTCCGGCGAGTATTCAGAGTACGTGTCGAGTTGTTTAATTTCGTTAGTATCTCTAGTTGAAAAAAAAAGATGTAAAAATGTAACACGAAAAAAGAGAAACAATAATTGGATAAGACGTCATGCATTAGAGATTTAACAATATATTGAATGACCTAAGTAGCTCATTTCTAGAATTTTTATAACTCGTATGAGAGCATAATGATAGCTAAAAGGTAGAGTGACGTCTATTTTCGCTATGTTACTACGTTCTTTATGAACGCAAATTCCTTAAAAAAGAAATTAGAAAGATGTTGTGGTAACGAGTAACAAGTCAGATATAGGATATTAATTGGTACAACAACAATTTGAATAGTTCACTTCCACAACAAGCTTGTGAGTGCTTTGCATGCAAACTGAGTTTAGAATTGTTAGAGGAAAATAAACAAGGTCAGAATTCGTTTGTTAGAGGTTTTTATAGAATGAAAATGATTTAAATAGGTCATGTCTTAGAGTTTTTATAACTCGTTTGCGAGCATTAGTGACCTCTGTCATGGCTGAAGCCTGCTTCTTTACATAATTCGTCATTATTATTAACATTAACCTGAAAATCAAAAAAAGGAAAAAAGAAAAAAGGTCTTAGAATACCACTAACTTAGATATTTAGTAGTGTTTATGAATCTAATTTTGTAGCCCATTTCTAGATTTTTTAACTCACAACGAGAATTCTAGTTCATTTTAGTATGTGGTATTCTTTTATATCTTTGTTAAAACGGGATCATCAACATGGCTTCTACAGTAAGAAAAACTTGAATGTGTAAGTGGCTTTTTGAGGGAAGTCACACAGAGTTACGAACAGGGGTTCAAGATCTACTGTAAAACGTTAACGAAGACTTCAATAAAACATCTTTAAGACCTTACACATGAGTCCGTTCTCAGTTTACCCTATCAAGGTTTCTAAGTCACGCTTCAGGTTCATCCAGTGTGGATTATATGCCACAATGACCTGTGACAAGTAAACTGATACAAAATTGCTTTCTGTATCTCTCATAATGTTGAACTTTTTGTTTTTAATGAATTATTCAGTTTGAATTTTTCCCAAAAACTGAGCCGTTTTCTTTTGACACCATAATGTATCTCCTTGACTCGACTCTCTTGAGGGTTTTTGGTTACCCCCCATGTAAAATAATGCGTAACAAATATATATTTCCGGGAGGTTAGGAAACATTTTTAAGCTTTTCATTTTCTATCCAAAGACTTCCACCAAGGGTGGGTGGGAGTGACGGTTAGTATTTAGATATGATATGACAGATATGAAATCTTTACTGCACTGTGATTGGTTTAGAAATCTCGCACCACCCTTTGTTCTGCCTTTTAGGGTGCTGACTTTTCATGAATTTTTGTCCTTAGTGACTGCTTGTGATATTTCCTTCTTGTCAACCGCTGAGATAACTTAAGAAACTCAATAATTTGCCATTGCGGTTTAATTTACTAGGGGACTAGAATTTACACTCCACTTTTACATTTCCAGTGAAGGACTCGAAGGTGTAACATGTAGAGCTACACAGCTATAATGACCAAACTTGAAAGAGACCTTCAGCTAAACCTGAGTAAATCGAGCCAAAAACCTGAGTAAAACTAACTTAACTTAACTAACTTAACGTCTGTACAACTCACTAGAAGCAAACCGGAAAATCTTCCCTTCCATTCTACACTCTTCCTCATGCTACACAGCTAACCTTGCCTCTGGAAGCCTGACACAGTGAGGACGAGCATAAACGTGGGGTAAGTGAGAGAAAAATCTAATTAGAATGAAGGAAGGTGACATGCCTTCCCAGAACCTCGCCGATTTTTGCTCGCTCTCTTTTACTCTTCTCTCCTCTTACCGCGAGCCTATCACCAGCTATGCCTTTAACGACAAAAAAAAAACAAACAAACAAAAAAAAAGTTTTCTCACAAATTCAATTCACTCAGAACACATCTACATGAACTGATCATTTTATAAAATGAAACATATGGAGAAAAGGTAAATCAATAGAAGGCGTTCATGCATATTAGCTTGTTAATGAATACTTCTGCAGTTAAACCTCTTTTTACATATAATTACAAATACAACATTCTTTTGAAATATACTCGAACTTATATTATCTTCAAATTCACCGGTGTCTTCTGTAAAAACTCCATTTACGGGACAAGCTAAGCTTTCAACTCCACCTCGAGACAGTGATTTTAACATTTTAGTTCGCACCTTTGATATACGGTTGTGGAACACCAGGGTACGCGTATCGTCGACTCTCAAGTGTTTTCATTCCTATCTGAAATTGCGTTAGTTAATCGTATTCTTCTCACTTTTTTCTTAAGAATGAAATCTTTAATAAACTGTGATTCGTCTAGAAATCTCGCGCCACCCTTTTTTTCCTACATACGACTATGGAATACCAGGTTACGAGTTTGGTTCGTTAGCGCGTAGCGTCTACTACAACGCCTTTGCGCATTTACGGGCGGAACGGGGAAAGACAGAATGTGGCCGAGACTAGTTCAGAATCATTTTATACCACTTCAAATCAAATGGCAAATAGTACGAGGAAAATCAACTTATGGCTTCATTATGTTATTTACTGTATTACAACCAGACATCCATACCTGGGCTCCCTGTGCTAGCCGAATGCCAGTCCTGATTCCACTTTGAGTTTGACCCTTTTAATAAAGAATTCGTCTCAATTAAGAACTAATGCACAATTTTTATTGCTAAATAAAAACGTTTCCTATGCAAATACTTAAGAAAAAAGGAAAAGGCAGGATACAAAAATTGTGGCTATTAGTAGAAAAAAATACGTGGAGCAGATTGGAGAGAACAGTATGGTGAATATGCCTGCTGATGCTTGGGTCGAACGAGTAAAGATGGTGGTGATTCTGACTCACTAGGTGCATTACTCCCTGAAGTCCAACCACCTCGACAAGACCGTCACAGTGACAAGCTGAAGCATGACCCTGCAAAAAGATTCAAGCAATTTCAATTGTGTGTGGAAAAGGAATCCGAGATTGCACTAAGTTCGTTTAACTTCGCTTTGTGATTGGTCCAGATAACTCAAGCCACTATCTGAACCAATCATGGGAAAAATTAAAACCAAAAGTGGTTTGGTCATTCGCAACTTCCCGCGCTAATGGCAGTTTGCGCCATTCTTCTCTTCGTACTTATTGACTTCTTGAACTTTCGTCGATTCTGATCGGCCGTTGTGATAACTTCATGGTTGGCTTCTTGATAGCAGATGCGCTGAATCTTAGAGTCTTTTCCAGACCTCACCTTCTGAGGACAACATGTCATGGTTATTTTATTAGCTGTTTGGTGCTAAGAATATGAGCAGATATCACTACTAAATTCATGAAGTGCTGCATACATCTTCTTTGTTTGGTCCCCATGCATCTGTGCCTGCTCCCCAACTGGCCGAAAAACAAATTTAAAAACAAAGTAAAAGGGCAAAATTTATACAAAAAGACTTTACAAGTAACGAAGTGATAATCAGCTGCAATCAAAGTGATCTCAGAAAAGAACCCTTAAAAAAATTCCGCCTTCGATCAGATTCGAACCCGGGCCTCCTAGATAATAGTTGGGGACTGCTACCAATTGAGCTGTGAAGCCACATGATGCGAGGGAGACAAATTTTGAAAGGTTATTCGTTCCCGTAAAGGAATCAGGTCATAATTATATGAAATAGATAATGTTGACCTACACGAATCATACTTTCACTGGGGATAAAATCCTTGCAGCTTAAAACTACTTGTTGAAGCAGATGTTCTGAGATTTTCTTTCAATTAAATTGAACATCTAACTATTACAAAGTTAATTCGGATTAATTTGATTGAACTCAACTTCAAGCTTTTACTTACCTGGCTTCCAGTGTTCGTAAGT